GATTCCAACATATATTTTATTTATTTATTTAGTCAAAATTCAGGCTTCATTTTTAATGTGAAGCTATTAAACAATCGCAACTATACGATAATATTTTTGTGTTATTTACTTACCTTTTTTTTTAACGAGTAATTCACTACAATAATTATGATCTTAGGGAATGAAAATAAATAATCTTTTGCTGTATTGTTCTTCTATACAATAAATATTTATTCCCTGTTTTAGGTTTACAGAACATAAACAAACAAAACACATATTTCAGAAGTAATAACGGTTTTATTGAAACTTGAAAGATGGCACAAATGTAGAGTATATTGGTCTAAGTGCATCTTATGTTGCATTGCTGTTACTATGACCAATAAGAGCGACTTCCATTACGTTTATGTTGTGAGTATACGAGTACGCTCTCGAATAGTAACTCAATTTTATCATTCAAAAGGTTTTGTTTATCTACATTTCTTCTTCTCCCTGCCCATTTCCCAATTACTTGGGGTCGGCGCAGTACATCCTCTGTACTGCTGAAAGGATTTGGCAAAAGTTTTACGACCGGCCGCCTGCCTGACGTCAACCCTCCTTGGGAATGCTATTGTTTATAGCGGAATATGTCTTATGATATGTCTCTTATATATATCTCTGATTATGTCCTGTAATATGATACTTTTTCGATATTTTTGTCTTTTAAAACATTTTTTATACTATTAATTAAAGTTTAATGTTATTTTCGTATATATTTTAAAATAAATTTTAATCACACTATAAATTTTGGTTTGACGTTGTCAAATTTTTTCTAAATTCTTTTATTTATTTTCTAAATTTGTTTATCTACATATACACATATTATTTGCTTGGTTGCATTTAGTTAATTTCATAACTCCTATTACATAATTTATATCACCATAAGTTACTTGTGGGCAGAAGATTACATATTTTAATAGGGTTCTCTGACAAGTGAGATGTCAGGAGCTTTATTGCTACCAGTATCGTTCAAGTCAACTTTCTCACGTTTCCATATACAAGTCTGCCTTTTAAAAGATGAAAGCTGTGAAATCTGTGAAAGGCGGAAAATTGCAATATTCGATCCTTAATGTACTTACTATAAATGTGGCAACACCGTACGAGTGTGCCTTTGACACGAGACGCTATTCAACTTTTGTAATGTGAAATGAACGTAATATGGCTATGATATAAGTATTGCAATAAATAAGGGAAGAAATTAAAAAGTTCTACCATTTCTTAATGGGGACGAAGCAACTTTATAAGTAACATTGATTTATAAAAAAGATAATACTAAATTTTAAGATCTTTAAAAGTAATTATTTGTCCACTGAATTTCAGTATTTATATGTATGTCTTGTAGACTTTCCATTGCCTGTATTTTATGGGTGTTATTATACGAGTACATTCTGAAATAATTGATGTCTGAGTCATATCGAGAATTTTTATCTTATAGCACGTTGTTTGAATTTATTAAAGTGAAACATACTTTTTTACATAAGAAATTACTAAAACACGATTACAGTACATAATACATATACACATTAGCATTCGCCAAAGCTTCACATGAAAGGTGTAAAGCTTGCCAACTATACTGGATGTCGGCGTTATATTGTGAGAAAGGATTTATAATAATCTAATTCTCTACCATTTTATCTTTTAAACACGTCAAGATTTGTTTTAAACATAACGATATAACTTGGTCTCATTAGCAAAATAAAGTCCCAAAACTGTTACCATTTATGTATCCGCCATCCAGCCGAAGAGAAGTAACATAAAGCTAATTGAAGGAATTAAATGACCGATTCATCGGTCCATTCATGATTCGATAATTACGTGCGAATTTGCCCTTTATGTAGAGACGTATTATAGAAGAGTTTGTGTACGTATCAATATAATGCTATGCACAGAATGTGTGTTATCTATAGAGACATAACATTAAAACCAGAAGCAAACGTAATCTTGCAGTACCTATGACACATTAAATTTTCATGCACCGCACGCACCTATTATACACATTAAACAATATAAAATGATTCTTCCAATATGATGTTCTTTTAAATGGAGTATTGAATGGACAAAGTGCAATATAAAGATCCTGCATTTGCTCGACCACTGAAATCGGGCTCGCTCGCTAATATCATTACTCGGTATTGATTATTTTAACTTTAATGGCTTCGAACGTCTGCAGTTTATTCACATAGATCAATGATAATTTATGATAATTTATATGATGTAGGTACATCGTGTATCTTTTATATAAATAAAAATCAAATAGTCGAGTGCAATTAGGTTTATATCTCGGAACCCAGGTATAGGAAATGGATTTGGCTGATTTTAGATTTTTTGAATTTCTTATACTAAAACTAAAAAGTTTACCTTTTGAAGACTTCCGCTAATGTTTTTTTAAGGGTTGTCCCATGAAAATGATGCTACTTCTAGTATAAAGTACATTCATTTTACATTTTTTTTAGAGAATAACTCAGTTTCTATATAAAATATAGTGACTTACCTTTGCTCCGCTCGGGTGCGTCCTTGGGTACGTTATAGATATGAATAGATTGCGTTGCGAGATTGTACATACATACCATACCTTAGGAGAAAGACTTATGATTTTGCAGATTTTTCTGTAGGTATTATTAAGACGTACAATTGTCTAGTGCATTATTTACGCATATCACTTAAGGTATACTCAGCGTTAGCCAAATAAATTTGTAAGGGCTACTTGTTAGTACCTTGTTAGTTTTAATTTTAACTTGTTCTTTTTTGCGAAATATTAATAAATTACATTAAAGTTACTATGCAAATATAATTTTTAGGTATAAAATTGAAATCTTTGCTGTAAACATTCCCCCCCCCCTTGTTCCTCTCATTTTTTAGTAAATAGTTGTTATAAATAGTTGTAAACAAGATCGCAGAATTATTATTTTTTAACTTTTTTATTTGAGCTTTTAACAATGCAGTCGAACAGTTTTCATGAAGATTCATCGACTTTCCCCGCGTTCCGAGATTTTACATTTTTTATGCCTTACGGTGCTCCACTAATCGTAGAACACATATATGTAGAAGCATAAAGAATGACATAAGTTCATTCGCGTTAAGAAAATAGTGAGTCTTCAAGTGCAACGGTAAGTAAAGGTGTATACAAAGTGGGCGTAAAAATTAAATTCAAATTCAATATTTCAAAAGATTGATGTTTAATGGATAAAAATCAACTTTTTTATAAATTATCTTGCTTATCTCAAATCTTGATTTGAGATGATAATGACTTTATTTTGATTTGAGATAATTAATAAAGTTAATTATCTTAAATCAAAATAAAGTTATTATATAATACGAACTTATTAGCTCTACTCTCAATTGCAATATTTATTAAGTTTTGCTATTCAAAAATATCCTTTTATTCGAGAAATATTCATTGCTACAAATTTAAAATTTTACACATCCGACAGAATCATTAACCTTTGACTTTTACAAACTTTCACATTGGGAACGTCCTTTTTGGAAAACCTTTTCACGACCATTATGTAATCTACATTTCTATTGTTACCTTCTGAACTATACCTACCTTCAATTAGAGATGGTACCGTTTGATGGAAAAATCTTTTAAGTTTATTTGTTCTAATATTGAAAAGCCGTAAAAATAAAGGAGCCGAGAAGAGAAAAGCTTTTTTAATGTTCTAGAATTATAGTCAAATTTGAAAAAATATTTTTGCTTTTTATATTGCCTATTTGTCTACCTTTTAAGGTTTTAGGTTATATGCTACAACGCTACGACTCTTAGAAGTGGAGCAATGCCAGTAGAGTCGAGGGAAAATCTAATTGAATATAGACGAACATAATATAAATCTAAATGTTGAATACCACTTTTCACTAACAATAAGAATATATTATAATTCTCAAGTAGATACAGCTTTACATTTTTTCATTTATGCTAGTTTTTCATTGGGTGAAAGCCATTTAAGCCCATAGACATTTTTGTGTTAGATTAAAATTTAAAAAAATGATTAGGTATTGGGTATCTCACCCTCATGCAATTATTTGAAAAAATATTTTACAGTTTAACCCCGAAAAAATATTTTGCTATTGAATTGGTGTATGTATTGCAGTAGTCATTTTAATTTAGCGCATGAATTTGCCACTGAAAAAACGAGCATTTTATATATGCTTGTATAGTCGTTTGTACCTATTTGAACAAACTGAATACACTACTATGCACTTAAAATATCCCTTTAAATTTGTGCGTACACTGTATTCAGCTAGTTTTGATATACATATAATTCACCGTATTGGTTTCAAATTAATTTCAATTTATTAGAATTTACAGTTAAAATATACGGAGTGTCTGTCTATTCGTCCTTTAATAGGATGAATAAAAAATAATTACTTGTCCTTTATAAAATATATAAATTACAACGAAGGACGAATAGAGACTAACAAATAAATAAGCTGAATAAGTAGCTCTGCTCAGTTCGGTACTCATACCTTCGTTACTCTTGAACTTAAAAATCGTTGGGATTTAAAAGAATAGGTTTTCAGCTTGGAGTTCAAAGTTTAAGGTTATTTTTTTAGCATATAGAAACTGCATCTAAAACTTACATTTATTTTACATTACAAAACAAAAATAGTAGTAAAGATTCGTACAAACCGACAATAGTCGGACTAATCATATAATTTTATTTATCCAATTATCGGACGAATAGCAACAGCCTGAAATTTAATATGATCGCTGCGGCTCGTGAAATTATTGCATTCATTACATACATTTCTATGAAATATTATTTGAAACATTTCATATTTATTCATTTCAATTAAATATGAATATGAACGTATTCATAACGCTATAACAGACAGTTCATTTAGTGAATTTATGTATTTTAGCTTGTATAGTTGTATAGCAAAATAAAAAAAAGTATAATTATTTATTATAGTAGGTACGCTCACGAGTACGCTCAGCAATTATAATTCTTATCTTACGAAAGTGCTATCTTATCCTATGCACCTACCTTGCGCCATTATCAGTCGTGCACGTCCCAAACACAGCAAGATATGATGCCGTACTGCTTTTACAACTAATGGAAACCTTACGAGCGCCTGTAATTGTATTAGACGCATTATCTATTTTTACTGCTTTACAACATTTTGTTTACACGTGAAAGAGAACGTGATGTATAATAAAGTTAATATGTTAAATGATCATTTATAATTTTGTCTATTTATTGAATCTAGGTTTTATGTAATAATCTATTTTGTGCACTGAAATCAATAATCTATATATATAACAAAATTATAACTGAATTGAATCTGTACATTAAATATTTTTTGGACAATCTTATTCAAATAGTCAATATTATCGATACAGAGGCCGAATCTATAGTTTTTAGAATTTTTGTCTGTCTGTCTGTTACCGCATCACAGAAAAACTACTGGAGGGATTTTGATGAAATTTGGTATGGTGATAGCTAGTTATCCGGGTCAACATATAAGATACTCTTTAGCGCGGGAAAATATCTCATTTCTGAGAAAAAATACAAAAACTGCAATGTAAGTGTAAAGCCTATGAATTTGGTTTTTGTCATCTGAATGCGGGTGGAGCCGCGGGCAATGTTAGTTGAAAATAAAACTAATGAATATGTCTGAGACATCAAAATAGCTATCCCATATAGATCTCATATGTCTGTTTTTCTTTCTGTTTGTACCAGATAACTAGCTATTGTAGGAACCGATTTTGCTTGTGGTTGGTAGATGAATAGGAGGAATGTGAGATGGGGTATTGTAAATTGTTATCGTCATAATATGTGAAAAATAGTATTTTATAGAATAATGCAGTGAAGTTTTTATTTTTTGTAGTAGGAAAGCACAAGATTCGATTTTGGAGCTTACTTAGGCGTTGCAGATTAATATAAGGGATTTCAACTATTTCTAAATTATCAAAATATTTTTTAAATATTTTGATCGACTGCCCTTGCCGTGCGGCCTTATAATAAGAGGACTTATATATAGTGGAGGTACTTAACAGAGTGCAAGGTATCCCCCCCTTAAGTTAATCTGCCGCGCTTGAATAAATCCCAAAATCTCCTTTTGGGCTGTACTATTGTATTTTAATGCGTTATGCTTCTGATTACTACAGTCTAATATTAATCATGTCCGATGCAGCAAGCATAGGTATTGTCCTGACTATCTTAAACGAAAAATTCTTGATAATTAAAATAGATACTTATGAAAATATATTAAGGGAAACCAACTTTTCTTAAACATACTATTCATGTAAGGTATATATTGTATTGTTAGGAAAAACGGAACGCGATATATTTTTTTTTTCAAAACACCCTCATCAAGTCAAGTATATAAACCTTTGTATTAAGTAAGTTAGGCATTTTGCTCGAGACTTCTGAACCGGTGAGATTGTTTCTTGATAGTTATTATTTCTGTTAATTTTTGTGATTTATTGGTATTGGTACTAGTATTTTGTTTGTTATTTTTCTAAGCTGGCTCTCTTTAAAAGTTATAATTTTAAATCGTTAATGTTGTTTTAAGTTCAAGAATTAATACCAAATAAAATAATCATTAAACTGTAAAACTGTAGTTTTTAATTACCTTCAATTAATTTATTACTTTTATAAATTTTAAGACCTATTCCACTTCTGGTTCCTAAAAGTATATATTCACTATTTTTTATAGATGTATTCAATGCAAACAAGTATAAAATAGAATTTAATTTAGTTAATTATTTCTTACTTATATTATTAATAATTTACCTTCATTAATTCGTTTTTTCGTTACAACTTGAAGATTGACAAGAATAGAACATAAACGTGTCTGTAAAAATAGAACACTTATCATTAACTTTTTTTTGGCTACAAATTTTATTTCAAAATTTCATAGTGTTTTATTTGTAAGAATTATTCTAGTTCATCTGGAAGCTGATACTATATGTTCCAATTAAAATAGCTTTAGGATAAGACACGGACACTACGACCTATGTCTATGGTATAAGATTACTCTCTTCAAACTCAAATAAAAGTAATTATTTTACATTCATTTAAAGAGAATCCTTAAAAACAGCGTACAATAGAAAATAATTAGACGCACTATTTAAATTGTCTTTTATCTTGGAACATAAGTAGTAAAGTTACCTCCGTCAAAGTAAGTGCGAAAATGTTGTTTGAGGCTAAGAAAAAGTCTTGTATAAAATATTTTTGTGAAAATATAATAAAAACTTTTTAACAAAAAAATAAAAACCGACTTCAAACAAAAGCACTAAAAAGTAAAAAATAACTGATTGGTAGTTTTCATTTACTATACATACCTAATCAAATATTTTCGAAGTCGGTGTGCTTTGCTTTGTATGGGCTGGCACCGATTGCGAAAATATTTGATTAGGTATGTATTTAATAGGTAGGCTTTAATTACTTAGACAAAGATATATATAAAATCTGTTATAGATTTTTATCACTTATGTTAATAGATGGACTGCATTTAACCATTGCAGCCGCTGGTATTCTTAATAATATAAAGTTCTAAAACTGTTTTACTATATTTTTCACAAAATAACCAAAACTAAAAATGACTTTTTCTCGTATGTAACAGATAATGTAAGAAACTAAACAACTGAACGCCAATCACTGAATTTCAATTGAATGTCAACTCACTTTTTTATATAGAGATTTTTTAACCCAATTTTTTACACTTTTTCGTACAATTTTTCAATCATTTATTTCATACAAACTTTGCCATGATAATTTCAAATACAACAAAAAAAGAATAAGCCAAATAGTTATAGCCGTTCTGAAGTAATTCGCTTACATACATTTGGCAATTGATTTTTATTTATATAGATAAAGCAGTAACTTAGCAAAATCTGTAGATTAAATATTTTTTAAAAACAACGACTGTAACGTATTATGTACACAATATAGACACCAAAATAATAGTTATTAAAATGGTTGTTTGTATGTCTGTTTGCGTGTGCGCGTTTCACGCGAAAAGTAACGGACCAATTTCAACGAAATTTGGTGAAGTGAAAACTTATTACTCGGGTTAATATTTAGGATACCTTTTACTTCAGGAAAATCTTTCTTTCCCACGGGAAAACACAATAACTGGTTTTATCAAGTCCTCCTTAAAGCCGATGATGGTAGACCAACATTACTAAAATAGCCAGCTTTATATATAATAATAAATGCGAAAGTACTCCGTCTGTCTGTCTGTCCGTCACTTTTTCACGCTTAATCCGCTGAACCATTTAGATGAAATTTCATATGGAAATATTTTGAGACCCTGGGAATGACATAGGATGGTTTTCATCCCGGAAAACATATCATATATAAGGAGCTGCAAAGGGGGGTGGAATGGACTTAAGGGACATATATTTTTTTATTTTTTATAATACTTACGTATTTTTCTATTCGTATATATGTACATTGTACATTATAGTCTATTCTATACTTACCGTTAAAACGTACCTAGGGAAGAACACGAGCGAAGTGAGGGCTAATCGCTAGTAGTTTATAAATACTCAGATACGTATTACAGCGATGCAAGGGTAAGTCGCTAGTTTTTTTTGTATAATAGTTGTTTGATAAATACCGGAAATCCAAACAAATGCTTTGTAAATCCAATTACAACAGTTTGTGGTTAACTGCAGTTTATTTTAATATATGTAATTTACTCTGATGGAATTGGGTATAATAATGTAACTTGATATTTAAAATTTGTTCATTAATGAGTGTAAAACGTGTTAAAGATACTACGTACGATATGTGATTTGTATTATACTAGTGTAATCATTTAATATTAGTATCATTTTTCATACTGCCTCGGTGGTGTAGTGGCTAGCATGTATGGCTGCACACCCGGAGGTCCTGGGTTCGAGTCCCAGGTCGGGCCAAGTTTAGTTATTGAGTCTTTCTGTATAGTAAGACTCAGTAACAGCCCGGAGTTGGGAAGTTGGCGGTGTTTCACCCCCGTGCCTCGGAGAGCACGTAAAGCCGTCGGTCCTGCGCCTTAACTCTCACCGGTCGTGTCGAGTGGTCGTCCCACCGGAGTATGAGAGTGATAGGAATAGAGAGTGCACCTGTGTCTGCGCGTACACTTGTGCACTATAATATCTCCTGCGCAGTTGGCTAGTCTCAATGAGATTGGCCGCCGTGGCCGGAATCGGTCAGGAGAACATCATCATCATCATTTTTCATTGTGTGGTTTTTGTACAGGACGTATGAGGGGCGGTTGAAAAGTTCTCGACCTAAGGTACATAGCGATGACTCATCATCTCGTTACCTATATCGCTCATTGTGAGACTCATTATTAGTATAAGTAATACCCGTTTATTAATTTAGTTCATTAACACTTTATCCCTGGATTTTTCCAACAATACCATGTCAACAGAAACTGCTAATACTAGCAATTTGGAGGACCGCGCTATGATTTAATTCCATGTTATAAAAGAAAATACACCGAGAGATTTTTTTGATGAGATGTCATTGGTTCTTCATACACATTCTGTGTATTTCACATTAAAAATGACAGAGTTTCATACAATCTTTAATCCCCTATTTTACCCACTAAGGGAATGAACATAAGTTTCTATTTAATGCACAGGTACCACTTTAAGTTTAGTTACTATCATCTACAAGAAAGCCTAGTTAATATAAAATTCAAAATATAAGGTTTTATGCGTAATTACTTCCAAGCTTAGTGCTTATACGTTGCTAAATTGTTTGCACGTTTACTTACCAGCGTAATGAAAGGTACTTAGCTTTACATTTTCAAGAGACGCATAATCTTTTCAGAAATTTCATTAAATTCTTAATGTTAATATAGCTTACGTTCTTTGTCTATGTAATCGATTTAATATCTCGTGAACTCTTATCAGATTTTTGTTTAGGTGAATTAAACTAAATTTTAACTATAGCTTTGCAACTGTATTTATTTTTATAGGTACTCTTCATTTATATAAGGCTACTGTTTTCCTAACATAAAATCTGTCGTGCATTTATTAATTATACCTGTATAATAAACTAGCGATTCACCCTCGCTTCGCTCGGGTTCGTCCCTAGCCTGCTTCCCAAAACAAACTTTCATCCCCATTTTCACCCCTTTACGGGATGATTTCTGAGATAAAAAGTATTCTTTGTCCTTCCCAGGGTCTCAAAATATCTTCTTACCAAATTTCATCTAAATCGGTTCAGTAGATCCAGAGATTACCCTCTACAACGTCACAAACTCACAATTCACAAACGTACAATCTCACAAACTTTACCTATTTATAATATATTATACAAATTATACTAGCATCACCTTTATAATCACGTCACATTATAAAGGTATAAATGCACTATATATTGCAATACAAACTCAATAGTTCCAGAGAGTGAGTACTGACTAGTCTATGAGTTTTAAATTAACAAGCTGAAACGTTTGTTATAACTCTTTTAGGCAATCTCAATCACTCAGTATGATTACAGTATGGTTAACAAAATGCTAGCAAGCATCATCTCCTTCCTATAGCTGTTTAAATATCATGATAGTCTTTATAATTATGATCTGGCTGTTCTTCACCTGTAAGAGGGTATAATTAAATTGACTACCTTATTGTTCGATATGTTAGCATGTACGCCTACAGATCTGGATCCTGGGTTCGAATCGTGGGCCAAGCAAAGAAATTGAAATTAAAGGCTACAATATATAGATTTTCTATAAGAAATGTCTAAAAACTATCCGTACCCTTCCTTTGCCCCTTCCTGCGCCCCGAATTATGGTCCCATCAGACATTGAGAATAAAAATAATAGAGTGCATTATTTTTTGCACACAATTTTCCTGCGAGATTAGCCGTTGCTATTAGTTTTCAATACTATCAGCATGTATGGGGGAATATACGATTTTATGTTTAAAATGATAATGTATTTGTTACAACAAATACAGTATCTTAATTAAAGTATATATGTACATTAATTATAAGCAATGTTTTAAAGTAGAACAAAAATTAAATAGCAATTACACAGATCTGCAGTTAATTTCTTTAATAAGGTTTGAAATACTTTTATAGGATATTACTCGTAATTACTCATTCCGAAATAAAAGGTTTTAAATGTATCGTTTTTGTGTCTAAAAATTTATTGAGTAAATTCGAATACGCAACATAAACATTCTCTCAGACATGCAGGAGACCCGCATGTCTCACGATGTTTTCCTTTACCATAAGGCAAGTGGTAATCATCTTAGAAACGATTCGCGCATGAAAATATCAGAGATGGGAGACTCGATGCACTCGGTTTCCCAAGCGAGCGCGTTACCACTGGGCTGTGGTACTGCCTAAAAATATTAAGTATTCCTAATGTAATATAAAATTTCAAATACTTTCACACACAAAACAAAAGAGTTTTTTTGTAGATTGAACGCGAGCGAAACCGCGGGTTTTGCTAGTAGATATATAATAGTAATATTGCTGGCATTGAAATAAAAAATATTATTGATAAGTGTATAACTTGACATTTTTTATATGTTTTCTTAGATATTATGTCACATTTTGTCAATTTCTATTCAAGTTTTTTATAATGAAGGTAAGATGTTATAATTATATTTATTTATTATATTTTAAACTATTATAAGTACAGCAGTGCTTTTTACCGTAAAGATTTTATGTTGGTAGTACACGCTACATCAGAAGATTATTATAAATCTTCCAGCTTCAGTACTGTATACTACATACACACACTTTAACAAATAATTAAAAAAACCGAGGAATACGATCAGCCTCTATGCCTAGCGTTTGTGGACTACGGGAAAGCTTTCGAAACCATCGAGACCTGGGCTATTCTAGAATCCATTCAGTTTAAGCATTATTGACTAACAGTATATCCAAGTACTAAGGTGTCTACATAAGGTGTCTTTGTCTACTAGCACAAATGACCATTTAAGTACAAGATCAGACCACATGGCCAATCCATTTGCACCGTGGGTCAAGAGGGGGATGTTGTCTCCCCGAGACTGTTTACCTGTGCATGGGGGGACGTCTTCAAGACGCTCGATTGGTATGGATGCAGCATTAACACCAACGGACAATTTATAACACACCTACGGTTTGTCGATGATATAGTCGTCATAGCAGAGACTCTGCAGAATTTGGAAGAAATGTTAAATAGCCTAGGCGATTCTTCAAGACGGGTGGGTCTCGGGATGAGTTTTGGCAAACCAATCATGTTAAATAGCCATGTATCATATAAATATAAAAGCTCTGAAGTTGTGCAGAAATACGTATATCTTGCCCAAACTCGGCCGGAATAACTTTAAGAAGGAAGCCAACCGAAGAATACGCTTAGGCTGGGCATCTTTTGAGAAGATTCGTCATATTCTAGAGTCATCGATTCTAAAATCTCTTAAAAGTGAGGTTAAACAGTGCGTTCTGCCCATAATGACATACCGAGCTGAAACGTGGACATTTACCGTAGTTCTGGTCCAAAAATTCATGGTCGATCATCAAGCAATGGATCGTGGGATGCTTAGTTTTTAGGGCAAACAAAATTTGAAATGAAGTCATTCGCCAGAGAACCGTAAAGTAACCGATATTACGCGCAGAATTAGCTCGTGTGGAAGTGAGCCGGAAAAGTCTCCAGACGTATCTACTGATGGTCGATAGAGCCGTTATGTGCTAGACTGCGTTTAGGCAAGCGTACTGTAGGACGCCCTGCAACACAATGGACTGATACAATAAGGAAGATGGTGGGTAGCGGATGGGTGGATCATTGGGGGACGCTTTCGTTCAACAGTGGACGGCAATAGGCCGATGAGAAAAATTATAAAAAAAACCATTATAATATGATTACTCATTTCATGTATTGATTTGGTCTATCACAAATGTACAAAATAACTACAATGTCAGTGGATGCCGCGCAAGATGTGTCGTTGGTTATTGAAATTCAACCCCGCGACCGTCGACGTGGCAGATTGTATTACGAGTACTTATTATAATTTAAACGTGGTTTGAACTTTAATTAAGTATTAGTTAGTATTTTAATAATAATATACTTGAATATACGTAGATATAAAAATATAAATATTCTAGATGGGCATGCTTTAATATTTAAGTAACGACAACGTCACATATTTTAGTCACATTACAACATGTACTCTTAATATAGCAGAAGTATTATTTAAGTATCTAAATTTTTGTTTACTTATTCCTCGCATTGGTTTTTTGTTTTTTTCAGTCTTCCAAACAATTACCAAAAGTGAATGCGGATTTGAGAGAAACACCGAAAAGTTGTACTTTCATAGAACAAGTCAACCACAGTCCTAAGCTTAATGATGTACCCAAATTATGGAGCAGTCTTAAAAAATCAGACCAATTACCTAGTGCCAGAACTCTTATGAAACAACCAAGAGAAAGAGTTTCAGCTTCTGAATCGAATTTGGTAATAATCTTGACTGTGAATATTTTTACCAGTATTTCTAGAATACATATATTTACTCTGTATCATTTCGTTTATAGCCTTTAAAAGACGTTGAAATTGAAGAACTGTCTCGCGTTGAGAAAGATGGACCTCATGGTGATGACAAAAGCTTAGTAACGCTCAGTTCTAAAATGCAACGACAGAAAATTGTCGAAGGTCTCGAAATTAAAAAATTACAAGGAATTTGGAAAAACGATAAGGCACGAAAATGTTATGGCTATGAGAATTTGCCTAAGGTAAAAATAAATAAACTGTATAGTAAAAGATCAAAACATAATTCACAAAAATGTTACAATTTATTAATTTTACCCGTTTTTATTTCAGAAATCGAGACCTCGTAAGTATTTCCATATGAACTTAAATATTTTAAAACTTGTATACTTTGGTATTTACTTTATAATTCAGCCACGTTGCAAATATGTCTTGAATTTCAGGTTCACCGTCTCCGGCGGAAGATGCATTGACAAGACAGATACGTGACATTCATACAGAAACGAGAAAAAGTGCTAGAATAATTAGAGATTCCAGAGCAAGATTACTTGAAATACAGAAAGTAGTCACACTAAAATATTTTTTAATTAATCGTTTTAAATCTTCAATATAATATTTAATATAACATTTTATTCTAGAAAACACCTTTGCTAGAAAGCGATATTAAAGAAGTCGGTGAACGAAATGAACTGCTCCTTCGAGAAATGGAGCGTTTTGACAAACTAACTAAAAATATTCAGAAACTTGTATCCGAGGATATTTCACAAAAGAAAAGATCTAAGGAACAATGTCAACAGAGAGATTACACAGCCAGTATTTATGGTAACTGTTTTTTTTCTTAAATCTGACACTAATTTTTAATTTATTAATAAAGCTAAGTATGTATATTTTCTATTGATATTGCGATGACCAAATATGTAATAAAAATAATAAAATATTTATTTTGAGTTTTGTTGTGAATATAATGACGCAATATTTGTATATTGTACATTTTACAGATTCACCTGAGTATCATGAAATGAGTATCGACAATCCTACAATTTTTCTGGGTTGTTGCAAAAACTCTTCTACAATAACAAGCGACCAGCCAATTCGAAGCAAATCTGTATGTTTATAATGTATTACAAATAGCATTTCAATTGAATGTTAAAAATAAATACATGTTATATAAAAGTTAAATATATATTTAAAATCCATATAAATTAAAGTGATTTTTAACTTAGCTTGCGTATTTTTGAAGGAAATTGACCTGTCAAGAAAATTAAGTGAAAGTTACGATATGCAAGAAAAACTGGTTGCAGACAATGCAGATTTAGAAGTTAAGAGGTTTGAACCAGCATTTATTTAAAAATACTAACAGCTAACTAAATATTACTAATTGGATATTGTAATTATATAATACAAAAAATATATAGGTAAATCTGTAATAAAAAAATCTTTTTCGATCTTGAGTCTACAATATAAGTTTATAATTATGCACAGTACTAATTATTAACTGCTTTACATCTCAGACAAAGAAGTCATAATTGATTATGGGTTTTTATAGTTTCTATGTATTTAATTATCCTGTCCAGATACCTTTTCATTTAAATTTTTTATTCATATATGTATTTATTTTCTAACTAGCGCCTCACCCTCCCTTCGCTCGGATTCGGTTGTCGTGACGACCTACGTATGAGTAGGTGGTTATTTAAATTGAAGTATTTTTTTTGCTTTTGAACTGATTGGTATGAAACAAATACCAAATGTTAAGTGAAGCATACCAAAATACATTAGTGAAAACCGCACCCAAACCAGTTTTCGAACAGACAAAGAAACAAAAATTCTATAAATTAAATGTGTTAATAAAGACCCTCAATAATAGTTTTTCCCCAATATCTTTCATGTAAAGACAGCGATCAGTTATAATTTTATTATATGTATAGAAATACATATTTTAGAATAGCTGTTTTGTTTGGACTTAATGATTTAGATAGATGTATTTACTATTTAGTACAGCTATTTTTCAATCTTATTAGAACTATTTGAAATTTTATTTTATTACAAAAGATACATAATACATATATACTCCAAGGTACCTATATACTGCAAGATTCGAAGTTGATCATAGTTAATATAATTTACATATAATGTAAGTCTAGGCGGCGGCGAGAGCAACGGCTAAGGAATATAGAAACATATTTTTGAATAAATCCTTTTGAGATGAAACATTTCAATTAGATTAATGTCAGCTTAATGTATTCTAATATAAAAAATGAAGATTGTTTTATTTTTTTTATAATCAGAGAACTGAAGTGTTTATTTGAAAAATTTTATACTGATACATTTCAAATGGTAATAAATACCTATATAGAGACGTAATTAAAGTATATAGGATGACGTCACTTTGTACACGTGTACAAATTAACCTTACACCTAGTTTTCCAATATCTTCGTCAATTAACAAGAATATATAATAATAAGTTCAGTTATATTTCTCAGAAATATTACATAATTATTACGTTCTCGATCCTTCATTGCAAATCATAACTCATTCATGTACATATAATGATATGTTATTTTATTTTTCTATCATGAGTAGTAATTTAATTTCAATGATAGAAAAATAAAAATAATGACATTTTCTATATCGAGATCATTATATGATATCCGTTACTAAATACTTTTGATAGAATAATGAAAACGTGAACGAATTTCGTCTAGCGCCATCTACTATTACAGGCTCTAATTACGCCAAGCGAAGAAATAGGCTGCTTTTCGTATTTCTTTTGTTGTTTTGCTTTGTAGTCTATAGAAATTTGAAGTTATGCTTTTAAATTAAATAAAACAGACATAATTGTATAAAAATAAAAATAAAATATAAAACTAGCGGCTCACCCTCGCTTCCCTCGGGTTCGTCGTAGGTACGTTTTAAATATATATAAATAGTTATTACCCAGCGTTAGCCATATAAATTTTAATATGATTGTTAAGTATTCTTAAATAAGTATTCTTAAATTTTATAATTTTCCGCGCAATTTTTTAAATTTTTTCTTTCATAAGAACCTTCTCCTGACAATAACAAACACAACAAAAAATGAACACATCATTCAACAACATTTTGATCCTTAAGGTTTTTAAGGATTATTATCTACACGTGCAATTTTTTTAATTTAAATGCGCTACGAGAAAAGGCAGAACATATTGTAATAAGAAGGCTGTTTCGTACTTAAGTTACTCGTATTACGTGAAAAATTATTTACACAAGAGGGTATACAACATTTGAAGAAATTGTTAGGTATTATATTTTTGGTACATATTGTGTGTAGCATGATTATTGCTCAAAAGTTACACAACATTCAGTATAATTTTCTATCGGAAACTCGAGGAACATATCATATTTCAGCAGTAAACATGTACTTGATTTTATAGTACTTTTACTCTTTATTATTATATTTTGTTTCGTAAAAAATATAGTGACGACAAGACAGGTCACTGACGACTAAGTATTTATTATGCATGAACAGTGAACGCGCTTATCTTGTCTCATTTTAAAGCAAACATCTAAAGGGCTAAAAATAAAGGAAATTTTGTGGATGTGTAGGTATGTATATAATATATTCTTCGATTTTTACTTTTGGAACGTGGATACCAGTCCAAATAAATATCTAAAGATGTATTTTCAAGAGATGATTCAAGAACCGCAGATTGGTCAATAGTAGGGTAAAAAATAAGCATTTTCACCTAATGAAGAGATAGTATAGTGTTATATGATCTGTGGTATTGAAAAGGCAGTAAAGAGTTATTTTCTATGTATTTGAAACTAAATTAGACTAATTTGCTATAAGTTTCCCGCTGCGCTCCAGTAGATGTCGCACTATTTAAAATTTTATTATTTAAATGGTCATTTTTGTTCTGTGCTTTTTTCGGATATAAAAATACACAACTTATTTTAATTATATTTATATTTAATTTTGTATTCTCGGCTATATATATTATAGAATAAATAGAATTAAGGGATATTCTAAAAAGATAGGATAGGGGGTAAAAATGCTCTTCTAAGAATATTAATTTTTAAGATCGACAAGTTATAAAAAGCGACTGAGCCTGTAATATTAGAGAAGGGAAAAGCCATGTAAAATGCTTATATTTAATTAGTAATTTGTTAATTTTCTTCTTTCTTTTATAATCCAATGGATGTGCTTGAACTGATAACTAATTTTTTATTCTTAAAAATTTGAAAATATAATTTCTCGTAAAACAATATTAAATACGAATTCAAAAATTAAGAAAAAGATCTTTATATAAAAACTATTTGTCTTAGTGCTAAAATTTTGTTCGATATCGTATAGTTTAAACCATGGATGACAAATAAGTTTAAACTGTATATCCGAACTCAGTTCATAAACACATATATAAATTTAAAATAGGAACAATGATTGTCCAAATTGAAGTGTCACGAAGACCGCTGACACTATTGTTGTACCTCGAACAATATCAACACAAAATTGTCTAGTAATTATGGCAGAAATCCATTGGACAACCAGAATATTGGAATAATGTTTAACACAAGGTTAGTTTAACAAAAATATTTTTTAGGTACATCCTTTATAAGGAATTAATGACAAAGGATCAAAACTTAGAGACTTGTCGAGCTCAAATCAAAAGGCTTCAAGGAGAACTTAAATTAATGAACAAAGAGAATGTAATCCTCCATGAAAGATTAAATAGAAATAGTCCTGAGGTATCGTTTGGAATAACTATCTCTAGCAATATTTTGTAAAACTAGTTGGTTTCTGTAAATGTCAAACTGTACTTACTAAAAACAAAAAAGTTTATAATTAGTCGCGTCAAATAATACCTACGTAAAAGAGATAATCTTCGGTAGTCCTCAAGAATAGCTTCGATTTTGATGATTTTTTTTAATTTTTAAAATCAGAAAACTTTTGAAGGTGGTCTCTTCGGTGACCATTATTGCTTTAAACTGTACGGCATTCGAAACGTCGGGAACTAAAAATAAAATAAATCCGCCCGAAAGTCCAAAAAGATAGTTTTATTTAAAATGTTCGCGTAAATCTAAGAAAGTATTATTATACTAGCGTTTTCCTGCTGCTCCACCTGCATAGTACATTAATTACCAAACATCCAAGTTTAACTTAAAAAAAGCTAAATATTTACAAAAAAAATCATCTGAATTGGAGCTGTTGTGTTGGACTTCCTGGGAAAAGATTTCATTGACGCGACTAAATATAATATAAATAAAATTGATTTTTTTAGTTCTGTTTAAATTTTAGTTTACGTTTTAATCATATTTTTTAATAAGTATTAATGTACGGGTTGTTATTTGGATAGTCTTATATTCTCGGTAACGGAAAATAACTTCATTATTAAATGATAGTTAGTTTCGCTTATAATGAAAAAAGAGCCTCATGACCTCTGCTAAGCGTGGTTCAGTAAGCTATCGATTAATTAGCGTTGATGAACGCAGGGACTGAAATATTTTAAGTTTTTGAATCTTTGGGGTTATACCATGTGAGGTTATGTACAGTCATTATCTTATATCTTTAAAGAAGCAATTTTTGTATATATATACATAACCTGAATCTCGGAAACGGGTCCAAGGATTTTCATGAAATTTAGTATACAGGAAGTTTCGGGGGTGATAAATCGATCTAGATTAGTCTTATTTGTGGGAAAACGCGTATTTTCGAGTTTTCATGCGGTTTTCTTTCGCATTATTCCACGCAAAATATGGTCGATAATTTCGCACATAAGCTCGGGCATAAGCATCATGGTCAAGCGACCAAGGCGCAAGATTTTTTTTGTTTTTTTTTTTTGTATTTATTCAAGTGAAAATTGTACTTTTGAACAAAAACTCCGGGTGGCCCAGGTACTAAATTTTAATTTGCAATCTTCTATTTTATTTATAAATACCCGATGCCGTATAAGACTAGATAAAGTTTGTAATTTGTGTCGATAAAGTAGCCTTATTAGAAGTAAATACGAAATATTTAAAATTAAAAGAGTATTTATAAAATACTAGCAGATCCCGCTGCTTCACTCGCGCTAAAACTACAAAAATATCTCTAAATAGGTAGGTTGCATACAAACTTTTATCCTTTATTTTTCAAACTTATAGGATGATGGATTTATTAATTTGTACTGAAGAGTATCAATACCAAGTTTCAAGTAATTCTGATCAAAAAATCTTCACACAAAAAATCATGGCAATAAGTCACTCTGTTTCAACGTGATAGAAGAACAAACAAACAAACAAACATACTTTCACATTTATAATATTAGTATAGATTTATAAAACTGATTATTTTTTAAATAATTTCAACATATACCTATTCTAGATAAATAACTGATATGATAATATATACTCGTATATACATATATTCTAAGCTTCAATTTTTGACTTTAGGGTGATGCTATTGCTGTGAGCCCAGATCCATCAAATGATGAAAATATAAATATTTACACACAGGTACACTTTTTACATGTGTTTATAATTGTTTTAGTACGAAAAACCGTTTCAAAAACTCTGAACGTATACGCGATTTTGTACCTACTGTATCTAGCGCCTGCAGTCGTGCCGAGCGGTTAGTAGCCGTGCGTAGGTTCGAATCCTACCGACTGCGGTCATTAGGTTGCTTTAGGTTTTCCTATTTTATTATATTTATTTTGCTTTTATTGTATATTTTATTTTATTTTTTCAATATTATGAAGTTGTTAAGCAATTTTTAATCTACACATATAATAAAATTGTAACAAAGCCGAATCTGTACATTAAATATTTTTTGGAAAATCTTATTAAAATAGACATTATTATCGATACAGAGATAGCCAGCTAACATCATACCAAATTTCATCAAAATCCCTTCAGCGGTTTTCCGTGATGCGTAACAGACAGATAGACAAAAATTCTAAAAACTATAGATTCGGCCTCTGCATCGATAATAATGTCTATTTTAATAAGATTTTCCAAAAAAATATTTAATGTACAGATTCGGCTTACTTAGTTACAATTTTATTATATGTATGTATTTGTATATACATAACATATTTAACTTTTTACTCTTATGTTGTATGAAGGAAAGGCGAAAATACTCCTGAAAACAGTGAAGATTTGCTATGTAATATATGTAACTATGTAATATATGTAAACTATATAACTACCAGACATCTACATTATCACGATTCTTACCCTTGCGAATGTTGTAACATAATTGTATCTACAGAGAGTGCTGTTTGCTGCAAGCTGTACTAAACAAATTTTATCAAGAGTTTTTTTATGAATAGTAGTGTATTAGTGTACACTAGCGACTCATTACCTCGTTTTGCTCGGGCTCGAATTTTATTATATACTTTTTGCTTTTGTTATATATTTTATTATTAAATTATTATGCAATTTAGAATATTTTATTTAATAAACATATATTTTTTACTCTAATATTGTATGTACTTTTAGGAAGGCGAAAAAATAATCTTAAAAAACGCTGAAGATTTGCTGTCTAAAGACCAGACCTCTACAGTAGAACTTGTAAATATCACGAATATATTGTAACGTATATATACTGTAAAGTAATTAATTATTGTATCTTTAGAGAACGCAGTAAACTGTATGCGTTACTGAAGTAAGTATCTAAAGATTGTATATTTTGAGTAGTGGTTGAGGCTGTCTAGTTGAAATGTTTTGTACTCTGTCTTAAAGAATCTATTTTGAGTTTATTTTACATTGAATATTATTTTATTTAATTATAAAAAATAAATTTATTAGTTGCAAATATAAAATATTACATTCATTTTAATTTTTTAAGATTGAGATGCAGTGGGCTATGTATCACCTAGTTTTGTCCACATGATTGCTGTTTGTACTATGATTATATTTATATGTTTGTTACAGTAAGCCGGACATTGAAAAAAAACTATTTTTCAATGCTTTGCGTCCCCCCATTTCTCGGGGGTAGCTGGGCATATAGGGCATTTTACGAATTTCTAGTCCTTATATACCTGCTAACATTTTAATATCATAAAACTTCAGGTTTTTAAAATTTTGTTCCCCAACCGGATTCCGATCCGACTACATTCTAATTGCAATAAGAAGAGAGCATCCAAGAACGATTTTTTGTATGATATTTTATATTAAGAATTGATGATAATTAATATTAATATTTTTCATACTTAAAAGAAATGCTCCTTGCATATTTAATATAAGTTATAAATAATAGTACTAAATATATGTACATTAACTTAACAATTTTTACTGGAAATGGTAAAGTTTGAACGACACGAAGCTAGCCGTAGCTTCGTTTCGTTCGAACTTTGTTCATATATTATATTCGATAAAAAGTCAGTAGAAATATAAGTAATCAAAAGTATTTGATAGGATACAAATATATTATTAGTTTTCATGTCATCATAGGAGCATCAACTAGGCGGTTTGGAAGCGGAAGTGCGTAATATCCGCGTAGAAATGGCTGACGTGAAGGCCGCTGCGGCGACCGCTTGTCGTGGCGGCGGCGCTCAGAACACATGCTTCCAACAACCGGTAATTTCTTTATTAGATCATACGGTTATGCACGTTAAACAATTTCCGTTCACACATTTTCAACCTCGCTCCGCTCGGGTTTGTCTCTACTTACGTTTTAACGTTTAATATAGATTTCTCAGAGATGATATATTTTTCGACAGTAAAAAGTATCCTATATGATGACCCGGATAAGCAGCTATCATTGTACAAAATTTCATTAAAATCCCTCTAGTGGTTTTTTCGTGACGTGGTCACAGACAGACAAAGTTTTTAAAAACTATACATTCAGCGTCTGTATCGATAACAGTCTCTATTTCAATAAGATTTTCCAAAAAATATTTAATCAACAGATTCAGCTTTGCTAAAATTTTATTAAATGTATAGATGTAAGTTTTAAATATATTTAATCATGACGATAGAAATTTACATATCTAATAAGCTTTCGTTAGCGAATATCTATACTTCTATACTAATATTATAAAGAGGTGAAATTTGTGAGGTTGTAGGGGGTAATCTCTGGATCTACTGAACCGATTTAGATGAAATTTGGTAAAAGGTTAGTATGAAGAAATTTTTATCCCAGAAATCATCCCTTAAGGGGGTAAAAAGGGAGATGAAAGTTTGTATTGGAAAGCAAGCTAGGGACAAACCCAAACGAAGCGAGGGTGAGTCGCTAGTATAATATGAAGTTTCCTAACGAAATTATGTTCAAGATGAATTTAATTTTAAAATTTTTGTTTTCAAGCCTGGAGGTCCACCTGTTCCACCTATGACAAGAAGTGTGAGTTATTAAGTTCTAAACAGTCTTTCATTTTAAATATTATATAATACTAGAGTTGCCCGCGGTTTATTCCGTGTCTTTTATTCAAGTGTAATTGCTCTTCAACTAAAAGTCGTAGTACGATGCTATTTAGCCTGTAACTTTCTTGAATGAGGCTGGGGAAAATTTTAATGTAATGAGTTTTGCGTTTATATCCTAAACAAGATTAGATTCCGTCGTGTTTGACATAAACGCTTCATTTTACGCTTGTATAACAGATGACAAAACATGAACATATCCTACGCATTCTTATCCTTTGAATGAATCCTTAACCGTCAGAATTTTACATAATTTATGCATATCACAATATGAAGGGCCAAGAATTCTAATTTATTTGTAAAGGCTTATTTAGGGTTAAAAATATTTCAAGCGAAATATATACATATTGGACTCGTTTTTGACTTTGTACAATTATCAAAGCTGAATTTTAAACTTTTGAGGTTTTATTTGTTACAGTGTGGTGTTTGTCCACCGTGTCCTGCACCATGCAATCCAAATGCTCCACCGGTAAGGTCTTTAAGTTACTTTTTGTGACCTTTAAATGTCTATTGTGTAAGAAAATTGAAAATTTCCATTGTGTTATTAAGCTTTTTTTTAAATAATTAGACTCCAGCAGAAAGAGAGGTCCAGAAACTTAGCTTACAGCTTCATCAAACAGAAGAAAGTTTGAAAACTAAAATCACAGAGGTAATTTTTTTTTACATAATATATTTTCCATTCAACGCAAGATCGAGGCTATCTTATATCTTTAAACGAGCAATTTTTGTATATATATATATATATATATATATATATATATATTTCAATTATATAACGATGTAAGCTATCGTATAAAAAAGTCGGGCATAAGTATCGTGTCAAGCGGCCAAGGGGCAAGATCAACAAAATACAGGAATCCAGGTTCGAATCTCGGTCGCATACACAGTTACTATTGTTTTTTTTTTAATATTTATTCAAGTTCTTATTTTGTTTTAAAAGCCCAGGTACTATTACTACTCAAAAAATGTAAAAATATATATGTTATTCAGAAAAGTTGTCTCAGATATTAACACATACAAAGTCTTTAGCTTTACATATTAGTATAATTTTAAATTATTTTCTTTATAGTGTGCAATGCTTCGAACAGAATTACTTAAAAAAAAAGAAGAGCTAGAAAAAGAGAGATGCCAACATAGAGAGGTACAAAATAAATTAAGAGAACTTGAAATGAAGTTTGAGGGCCTTACAACCCATACGAATATGATGCTGGGTACTAAAGAGCAAGCTTTCGAACAAGAAGTTAATGTAAGAGCACTAAAGCAATGCTATAGAGAAGCAAGAGAAGAAATAGATGAGTTGAGAACGTTAATGAAAGAACAGAATAATCAATTGCAAGATTATAGGGTAAAGGTGTGTATTTAAGTAAAATTTAATAAAATTCATCTGTAACAAATTGTTACTAGCAATGTGTAAGTACTAAAAGTTTTACAACTGTAATCTTTGCCATCTTCATTCTGAGTATCCCTTTAATTTACTAAATAGAAGTGTTAATCTAAAATTGTGTCTTAAAATGATTTACGAATACTCTAATATTAAAGATTTTGTTTTGTTTTCTATAAGTATTTGCAAGCGCAACAGCTCGTCGAGGAGCAACGAAGGCAGATGGATATGATGGACATGGATAATACCAGAATAAGTGAACAAATTAATTTGGAAATACAACGTGTAAAGGTAATATGCTCTCCAGACGCTTAATATTAATCCAATATATTTGATAACACGGAAAACATGTTTACATGAAACTTTTGTATATAAAAATCGGTGAAATTATATAATGCGTCATTATTTTTGTTTAATTATAGTTAGATATTCATAGCTACTGCTTCATCTAGGAATAATGTCGCATAGAATTCTACAATTTAAAAAAATAATTGGCAACGTTTTCACTTATTAGCTCAAGTTCCAAGAGAAACTACAAGAATTAGCGCCTATACCTGATCTTTTAAAAGCAACGCAAATGAAATTAAAGGATGCGCAGCAATCACAAGCAATAGCGGAGCACAACGCCGAGCAACTGGCCAGGGAACTAAATTCCGCTAGAGAAAAGGTTAGCTTGTTATATAATACTAGCAGAACCCGCGGCTTCGCTCGCACTAAAACTACAAAAAATATCTAAAAAGGTACATAGTTTCATACAAACTTTCACCCCCTATTTTACCCCCTATAGGTTGATTTCGAAAAATGCTAAAACATGTGTTTATTAATTTTATTGAAGAGCTTTAATACTGAGTTTCAAGTAATTCTGATCATAAATATTTTTTGGATTGTATTATAACGTGTTTTCCCGTAGGAATTAGATTATTTCCCGCGGTAAAAAGTATCTCCAGCCTTCCAACTCTCTACAAACAAAAAAATAACTCCAATCCGTCACTCCGTTTCGACGTGAAAGTAAGAGAAACAAACAGACACACTTTCACATTTATAATATTAGTATGGATATTCTCTATTAGTTTAGGTGAATAAATTTTATTTAATAATTCAGATTTTTGGATAAAGTGGTACGAAGTTCACCCTGAAAGTAAAATTTTTGCTTTATGCCAATATGAATAATAAAAAAAAACAGATTACATTTTCTGTAAGGTAGGTGTGATAAGTATATTATTTAAAGACACATATGGTTTTAGATATCGTTCTCTCTTTGAGATGATAAACTCCTAGTGAAATGTGTCAAGTGAAACACCTAGGCTTTAATTTATATTAATCAGTCAAATTCTCTTACTTGCCTCAATAATTTAATATTTTTTCCTTTAATTATATTTTTTTTCATTTATATGATTTTACAGGTCCACGTACTGTTACATAATAGTTTGAAACAACCCGAGAAACCCCCAGAACGAGGCGCTGACGAAAAACAGATGGCGCTACTACAACAAAGAATATCGCAACTCACTGAAACTAATATGTCACTGAAGAGTGAAATAGAACGGCTTAAGTAATTATATTTCAAACCATTTTTCTAAAATAATGCTAAAACTAAAATATGTTATTGTGCATAACTTCAAAAGTCATCCTCTTTTAGGAAGATGGAACTGACATTTAACTTTACAGCGCTATGTATAATGTAGGCAGTTTGTACATTTACTTGTTTATTACTTATATCTTATTCATAAATTATTTCCAAATATTGTGCTAAGAGAGTGAAGCTTCTCGTACTACATCCATATCCATACTACTAATATTATAAATGTGAAAGTGTGTTTGTTTGTTTGTTTGTTTGTTTGTTTGTTTGTTTCTCCTTCTTTCACGTCAAAACGGAGTGACGGATTGGCGTGATTTTTCTTGGTTGGTCGGTTGTTTCTGCTGGTATTACATAAATTAGTAGTTAGTTAATAGAAAATAAAAGCATTACTATTGCATAGTTATAAAACTCCGTCTTATAATGTTTTATCGACAGAGCCAACGTGATTCGCATGGAAGAAAGTGTACTGGCGAACGAAAAGCGTTTGCAGGAGAAAATGCATGAGTGCGCGCAACTTGGCGGAGAGTTAGACCGCGCCCGGGATGAAGCCGCGCGTGCTCTACAACGTGCGAACGAACGTACTGACACTATACGCAAGTGTGTACTAACAATATTTTCCAAGGACAGTCTTTTGTTATATAATTGTATACAATTAATTACAATAGAGCTTTGCGATAATTTAATAATTCATTTATCTCTTGTTGTTCATTGAATTTACACAATTGTAGACGCTATTTACGTTTTGCACAAAGAAATAATTATGCTTCAGTCGAACAATAATTTATCATATAAGAAGGCATATGTAATATATTTGAAGATTTTCATGAAATTTAGTATACAACGGGTTTTGGGGGCGATAAATCGATCTAGATTAGTCTTATGTCTGGGAAAACGCGTGTTTTCGAATTTTCATGCGGTTTTCTTTTGCATTATTCCACGCAAAATATTGTCGGTAATTTGCACGCTCGGGCATAAGCGTCGTGATCAAGCGGCCAAGGTTCAAGATTAACAACCACAGGAGTCCAGGTCTCGGTCGCATACAAGTTTTTACTTTTGTTTTTTTTTTAATACTTATTCAAGTTTTTTTTTTTTTAAAGAAAAAAAAATTGTACTTCAGGGCAAAAACTCCGAGCGAAGCCCGGTAGCCCAGGTACTATTCATAATCTGATTACACTAATAAATAAAATTCGTGTTATATAGATGCATGCAGACTACAGTGGGTGAGTTAGAAAGACAATTGGCATCGACAAGAGCCCAAGTCAAAACTGCAGAGAAAGATCAGGAGGAAGTGAGTTTAATATATTTAGACTAGTAATAGTCAGCTGGAAATTATTCTTCGTTTTAATAGGGAGCTAAACTTTTATAAAATTTTAATATACATATTGTGATAAAAATGAGTATTATATATCCATACTAATATTATAAATGTGAAAGTGTGTTTGTTTGTTTGTTTGTTTGTTTGTTTGTTTGTTTGTTTGTTTGTTTGTTTGTTTGTTTGTTTGTTTGTTTGTTTGTTTGTTTGTTTGTTTGTTCGTACTTCTTTCACGTCGAAATGGATTGACGGATTGGCGTGATTTTTTGTATGAAGATAGTTGGAGGGCTGGAGAGTGACATAGGTCACTTTTTACCGCGGGAGATCTTATTTCCACGATAGAACACGTTATAATACAAGCCAAGAAAATATTTATGATCAGAATTACTTGAAACTTGGAATTAATGCTCTTCAATACAATTAATTAAATATTTATCTTAGCATTTTCCGTAATTTTCCCTTATGAGGGTAAAATAGGGGATGAGTTTGTATGAAAACTACCTTTTTACAGTTTTTTAATAGTTCTAGCGCGATCAAAGCCGCGGGTTCTGCTAGTAAATCAATAAGTATTTCTAAAGAAAAAACATAAAAAAATATTTTTACATTTATAGTATTGAGAAATATAAGTATTAAGATAATATTTCGCTTAATAATAACTAGCGATTTAGCCTTGCTTCGCTTCGGGTTCGTCTCTAGACAAAAGCAAATCTATCCCACGGGAACCGTACATTTTTGCGGGATAAAAAGTAGCTTATGTACTATTCCAGACTATAATCTACTTCTGTGCCAAATTTCATCCAAATCCGTTCAGCTGTTCTGTCGTGATAGAGTAACAAACATCCAAGCATCCATCTAAACTTTTTTATGTATAATATTAGTAAGATAATGGAATTATTATGAATTATTATACTTATTAATATAATAACTACAATCCTATCCTTTTTAATATTATAGAATGCAAGTCTTGTTAAACTTAAAGTACAACTTTGCCCGCACGTGCATTAACTCCACTCTTTTATTGAAACGTATAAAAATAATGTTATATACTTACACTTTATACGCTAAGCTATTAGTAAATTAAAAAAATATAGAAATTAAGTTAGACAACGAACAATATAAATACTTATGTGTTTATTTATGTAAACACGGACGAAGTTATACTTCTTTGGCATAGCAGAACAAAAATCGCTAAAGATTTCATCCGGTATGTCCCTGAGTTAAAGTGTTCTGTGCGTATGTCACTCACTCTCTGTTTGTAAAAAGAAAGCAGCTAATTTCATCTTGTCGCTTTTTGGCTGTAAGCGCGCATCGTAAACATTTTACTCTTATAATTTTCTCCAAACGTGCCAAAAGAAGTATAAATTCAAAAATACTTTGGGAAAATATTATGTACAAACGAAACTGTGTTATTTTAACTATGGATATAATTTAAAATTCTGTGAAATAGAATATAAATATATACATCATTTTATATGTTGTATTTAGTATCTTGGTAAATCAGTATAGCAAGAGACTTTCCTTTTACAGTTACAATGTCGTATGCAGTGTCAGATAAAGAGATTAAATGAAAACTTCGAGCAAGCGCAGCTACGTATATTGGGTTTGCAAGCACAAGTGCAAACGCTTAGACGTACAGTTTCTAGTACCGGCGACGGTGAAGGCGATATGCAAGAATGTGCTTGTAAATCAATGTTTGATGATCCATAGTGGCTTACAATTATGTATAACGGGTTTTGTATTTAATATAATTGTTATTTCAATATTTTTAACAGCCTTTCATAATTTTTATGCTTTTAAAAATATAAAATTAAACTAACGCCTTCCAATAATGTTTCCTTTTAATTTCCAATTTTATTTCTGAAACATTAATACTCGCTCTCCCTATGGTTTTAAAATATCAAATTTTTCTTTAGAGGCTTATTCTAATAACTATAAAGTTGCCAGATAGTTTTGTAATACAGTGGCATCGCCTTATGTTGAGAAGGGTCATTGTTATCATTCACTTTGATCCCTCTTAGTCCGATAATATAATTCTCTTGTACAAAATTATTTTTGTATGTTAGAACACTGTATTTTTTATGATAAGAAATAAGTAAATTATATTTTGGAATATTGTTATACTAAATCAAAGAAATTTATAAATCTATGGGATTTTTTAAATAACAATTTTTTTTGGGTGTCAGAGTTTTAGATTTTTTTACCTTCCATAAAATATCATTTTTAGTATAGTAGGTATTTTATAAAATCTTCTATGATGTTGGCAAATAAACATTAAGGCGGTCCTATCTATACATATCTATACATACCTATAATAAAACTGGCATTACCCGCGGCTCCGCCCGCGTTCAGATGACCAAAAACCAAATTCTAACGAGTAATTCTTCGGTTTTACGTATTAGTATACTCTTACATTGCAGTTTTTGTATTTTTTTCTCGGAAATGACACATTTTCCCGCGTTAAAAAGTATCCTATATGGTGACCTGGATAACCAGCTATCACCATACCGAATTTCATCAAAATCCCTCCAGTGGTTTTTCTGTGATGCGGTAACAGACAGACAGACAGAGAGACAAAAATTCTAAATACCATAGATTCGGCCTCTATATCGATAATAATGTCTATGTCAATAAGATTTTCCAAAAAATAATTTATGTGCAGATTCGGCTTAGTTACAATTTTATAATATGTATAGGTTGTGGACATGAACGAATTAACCACTTCGTTCATGGTTGTGGATATATATATATATATATATTTATATGTATATATATCCATGAGTGTATATTTTGTGGATGGTTTTAAAGTATAAGTAAGTATGATACAGTTGAATATTGTTTTGTGTCTAAGTATAAAATATGACAATTATATATTTTTTTAAATTGAGACAGTGGACCATGTATCTAGTTTTTCCACATGCTTGCGGTTGTACTTTGATTATATTTATATTTTTGTGAGTAATTGCTGTACAATCCTTTAATGTAACCTTGTTCGATGCTATATATAGCTTTGAATTTAACAAACATTGAAACCTGAATAATTCACTCAATCAATATGAGCTTGTTCAGAATGCAATTACACAGTTACGTATATTTAGTTTCATCATTAATACTATTCGAGCAGTTTACCAAAATATTTCAACATGAAAATATCTCATTATAATTGCAATAACAAGAGAGCAACTATTAACGATTTTATGTGTGATATTTTATATTAAGAATTAATGATTTTTTTTCATATGTCAAACAAATCATTGTAACAATTATATTTAAAATCAGCATATTTGATATAAGCTATTCTTAACACATATTTTGACGACACGTTTGGCTCAGTTTGTAGTAACGCTACTTGCTGTGCCAGTGGTCGCGGGTTCGAGTCCTGCTGAGGGCACTCATTTGTGTGATCAGCATGAATGTTTGTACTCCAGTCATGGGTGTTTATATTTATAATATGTATGTATTTAAAGTTATATATGTGTAGTATAACAATTATCTGGTATCCATAACACAAGCCTCGTAGCTTGCCATGGAACTAGATGGTGATTTGTGTTAATGTCCCAAAAAAAAAGAAAAAAAAGACATATTTCCAACACAACTTATACTGGATATATCTTTTCAGTAAACGTATTACATCATAATAATATCTTGCGTACATTAACTTTGCCTTACAAAGTTCGAACTTAACAAAACTAAGCTACAATAAGTTTAAATTAAAAAAATCTGTAGAAATCAACATAATCTGAAGTACTCCATAGGATACAAGTATAATAATAATTTTCATGTCATCATAGGAGCCCTGATTGAGGCGATAAAATGCAAAGAGATGTTTATTAACTCTGACCGGTAGTTCCAGATGTTGTATTGTTGTTGCGTTTATATCCTAAGCAAGATTAGGTAGCGTCGTGTTTGATACAAACGCTTCATTATTTGTTTGTATAAAAGAGCGACTTGTCCATGTGTCTTAATTTTTTGAACGAGACCGTAATTTTTTTTTTAAATATAAATAGCCTTAGTTATTCCTTATAACATCTTAGCCGGAACAGACAGACAGACACACAATTTTTAAAAAAATTGTGTCTTATAAGTATGCTACGCATAATTTCGTATGCATTTAGTAATAAGTTATTATTTTGATATTACAAACAGACACTTTAATTTAATTTATCTATATTGATGACAAAAGAGCCAAATTACATACACAATTAACATATCCTTCGCGTTATCCTTTGAATGTATCCTTAACCGTCTGAATTTAACATAATTTATGCATATCACTATATGAAGAGCGAAGAATTCTAATTTACTTGTAATGGCATATTTTGGGACAAAAATACTTGAAGCGACCCGATGAATATTAGATCCGTTTTTGAATTTTGTGGAATTATCAAAGCTGAATATGAAACTTTTGAGGTTTATTTGTTACAGTGTGGTGTTTTCCCACCGTTTCCTGCGCTATGCAATACAAATCATGGGAATTTCTAAATAACACAATCTCGTGGAAGTCAAAGAAAGTTTTTGATTTATTTACCTTATTAAGATAATTAAAATAAATATACATAATTTTTAGTACGATGGGTATTTTTCAGATGTTGGCAATTAAATATTATCGGTGGTCTAATGGTAAATAATTTACTTTTTCTGTATTTCTACGGGTACGATATAAACATTACTGCGAGCTGCAAAGCATGACCGAAGTGATTCCTGTGCAATGTGGGTATCTTTATGCGGTGGTCGAGCTACACTGTGGAAACGATCTACCGCTTCTGATAAAGTTTTAATTGCCTCTTCCGCATTTTCTTCTTCCATAAATGTGGCTCCTTCCTAAATATAACAAAAACAAAATGTGTTAATTTAACCTTAGACTATCCTTTTTAAACTCGTTAATATGTTAAATTCTAGTTTCTTATATGAAAGCTAATGCATAATTGTATAAATAATAATTATGCCAAACCTGATATTGTAATAAACATCTTTTAATATCTTCTGAATATTCTTTTTTTAAATCTTCGCTAATAGATGTGGAACATTTAGGACACCTGTTTGGTATGTTTTTATAAGAACTGAATTTTCCGAGACAATTCATGTTCGGGCACCTAAAATATATAAAAGAATAAAAGTTAAGCAAAACATGTCAGCCAAGATTATTAAAATATTATTACGTAAAAACCATTAAAAGAACTATTGATTCAAAAAATATTATTAGTTTTACCTTAAAAATACAGTCGTTTCGGTGCCCATCAGCTTAAGCGTCGGCCAATCTTCTTTACACGCGATACATTCGCACCGGAACCAATATCTACAGGCTAGCATTCTTTGTCTTTCTTTAAGACTTCGCATTAAGAAATGAGGTCCATAGTTTTCAGATACTTCTTCTCCTGGATGAAGTGGTCGTGTAGCTCGTAAGACTATTTTTTGATTTTCAAAATATCTGGGGATTTGTATAAGTTTAGTAAAAAAAAGAAAACACTATGTTAGTGTTAAATAAGTATTAATTAATAAGTTTATATATTTGAATGTGTGAAACCTGAGATAAACTAGCCCTATTCTAAAAAATACTACAATTTTTAATCATAAAGATTAAAGCATGTTCTACATATTACCTGAAACTTTCAATTTAAAAGTTTCACTTCAAAAGAGAACATGAAAATTTAAGCTCTGTATAATTATATGTCCATTGGTATGCAAATTAACATGAACACGAGATAAAGTATTATAGTCTAAATGGTGGAAAAAAATTAACATTTGTATATGAAACCGCAAATAATATGAATATATAATACTAAAATTATATAACATTCTCTTTATAAGAGAACTAACAAAATGTCGATTCGAGTATTCATATACAATCCTATTGGGTAAAGAGAGTCCTAAAGTTTACGCAACAAATACTTCTGGTAGAAATAACAGGTTGTTTCTTAATATATGAAGTCATTTAGGTCCTGTAGTTATTGTCAAAATGATCACGGGGATGATTAGAAATGGCAGTCCAGGTTATGTGGTTCAATAAATTTAGTGTATTTAAACAAAACGGCCATATTTACCAAAATAATTGTGGGGAATATCGACTTAACTATGTACTGTATATTCTATGAATCAATAAAAAAAAAATTATTTGAAACAAAAAACTATTTTTTACTAAAGTTATAGCGATACTTTTAGTATATTATTTGTGCCTAAAAGTTTATTTCAACAAAGTAATGTTTACTTTTCATTTGTTTGAAATGGGATATCGTGGATCAGGATTTTGTGAAAGTAGTGGTGTGTATAGGCTGCTACGTTTTGAAGCTTTTACTATTTTCATTTACATAGTAAAATATTTTTTGGAATTAGTATTTACTATAAAAAAATTACTGTAAAGCAAAATATTAAGGCGATTCGATAGATATGTATATAATATGTTGTTAGTAAAAAGATAGACATGTAAAATGTCGTTAGTAATCTATAATGATAAATGATTAAAGTCTCAATCGGTATATTCAAGACAACGATTTGTGTATAATAATTTATTAGTGAGATATACCAACCGTGCCACTGCGGGATAGCACTCGTGATTAAATAATGCTCCAGTGGGGTATATCCCGACTGCAACGTAAATTGGTTTAGACCCGCTGAATTGGTGCTGGCCGCGGACCGTTTCATAGATCTCGTGGGCATTAAATTGCAGTAATTGCAAATTACGAACGATCAACTGACAAATGACATTCTCAGCTGAAATAAGCGAAATAAAATGCATTGGATGTACATGAGAAGACTAATTGTAATTGAGTTTACATAAGAAAGTTGCTGTAAAGTCATTTGAATATTTATAATTTAACTAGCATTGCCCGCCGCTCCGCCCGCGTTCAGATGACGAAAAAATTTTTTTATAGGTTTTGCATATTAGTATACGCTTACAATGCAGTTTTTGTATTTTTTCTCAGAAATGAGATATTTTCCCGCAGTAAAAAGTATTCTATATGTTGACTCGGATAACCAGCTATCACCATACCAAATTCCATTAAAATCCCTCCAGTGGTTTTTCTGTGATGCGATAACAGACAGACAGAAACAAAAATGCTAGAAATTATAGATTCAGCCTCAGTCTGTATGGATAATAATGGCTATTTCAATAAGATTTTCCGAAAAATATTTAATGTACAGATTCGTCTTAGTTACTATTTTATTATATGTATAGATCATGAACGAATTAACCACAATTCGTCCATGGTATAGATGTAAAGGCAACGTTTTACCTTTGTTTAAGTTTTCCTTGTCGCATTTTTCAAAAAAGCCACTTTTTTTTAAACACTCAGTAAGGAAAAGTCCCATGATTATCCTTTTAAGGTAATCTGCTCCCGTTCTTTGGCTTGAATGTGAACACAGTGCATAAATCTGTGCAGCTGTCATTTCTAATTTTTCTTGGTAACTCATCTTGTCTTCAATCTTAGTTTCGATGTTTTCATTGTTTGTGTTTTTATTTTCGAAACATTTTAAACCTTTTTTCGTTCTATTTAGTCGTTCTTTTCTACTTTTTAATTTATTTTTTTTAGTGCCCTCTATATCGTTTAATATAGTGCTCTCCACAGTTTTGACTTGATCGCTTAGATATTTTGAATGAATTTGCAGACAGGTTTCTAATCCAGCTTGCGTTACCATGCGGAGGGCAATATGGCTGAGGATCGACATTCCTGAACCTAAAAATAATATTTTTAAATGCTAAATAAGATCTAATTAATTTTTATGGTTAGTTTTATTAATATTTACCCATAAAAAGGTCCAAGAACTGGCACTCATACAAATGATAAGTAGGTGCTGCCGCATCACGACATTTGGTGGAGCAGAACGCCACCGCGGAGCAATTTGGGCACCATACCGGTGCTCCATTTTCAAAACAATCTAATCTAAAATATCAAAATTAATATGAATATACTAGCAGAACACGCGGCTTCGCTCGCGCGTAAACTACAAAAAAATCTCTAAAAAGGTAGGTTTCATACAAACTTTCATCCCCTATTTTACCCTCTTAAGGGTTGAATTTTGGAAAACGCTGAAATACGTAACTCATTAGTTTTGCCGTACTCAATTCATGCGAAATTTCATGCAAATATGTCCAAGGAATAAAAAGTTTCATACAAACTTTTATCCCCTATTTCACCCCCTTGGGGGTGGAATTTTGAAAAATCTTCCTTAGTAGCTTTCGTCATATGAGGAATACGTGAGCGAAATTTCAATTTTCTAGCCTTAAGGGTTTGGTCTGTGCGTTGATACATCAGGCAACCACCTTTGCCTTTTATATATGTAGATGGGAAATTAAACTAATAATAATTAAAATCAAGTATAACTAATTAAATATAGTGGCTCTTACCATGTTAGGAGCAGGTAGTATATAGATAAGTAGATCGATATTTTTTAAATATTTTTAAGGACTACTTTAATAATTGAAAAGCTCTTGTTGGTTTCGTTTTTAAATAAAAACAAAGAACATTTTAAATTTTTTCATTTAAATTCGGGTAAATCTAAGAAAGTATTCAATAATTAAGAAGTTTTCTGTATATGCATATGTATTATGTACTAGGTTCATTGTTCGTCGTATGCTTAGAATAAAAATGACAGCCGTCAGCGGTATCGCGCAAAAGTTCATTTACTTTCAAAAGACGTCATTATACATTTTATTTCACTTACCTCTTGAAGCAATGAAGACAATGAGAACCATAGAAGTCAGAAAGTAGACATGCAGCATACGGACTGTCCACTAAAAGCACGTCACCGGTTTTGATATTAGCATTGGCAACTGCGAAACGACCCTAAATAATTATACTTATTAATATTTCATAGGATTTATAATTAACTTATATAAAATTACTATCATGCTTTATATTTTTATGCCTTTACTTAAAATTATATGTAATAGCCTAATACCTCGATTAAGCTCTTTATTTAATTTACAATACACTAGTTTATTTACACATCTAGTTTATACTACAAATCGGTAATAGTAGTCTATTATCGGTAGTCTATTATGTTCCATACTGTCGATTGCAATAACAATATTTAATCGTCTCACTTTATGTATATATCTCTTATAAAAGTGTACCGGTAGCTAACACTATTTTTAATACTTTCTACGATTTTTAAATATTTAATATTTTAAATAAAACTATCTTTTTTTATCTCTCTCGGTAAGGGATATCTGTCCAATGATCATGGTAGCTGTGTTCGAACACTTCCTAATGTGTCAAAAAAGTAAAATAAAATAGCATAAAAATAGTTTAATTTAATTTTTTTTTATGTTTTCATTGTCCTTCATTAGAAGCACGTGAACAATATTGAATTGATTTAAGTTATTAATATACGCTAATGGGTAACTTTAGAACTAGGTAGTTAAAATTTAGATATCAAATAATATACATACTTTATCTTCCTCTTCTACGATTTTTACCAACTTAGATAACGCAGGTAAATTCTGCTTCGCGCCTCCTGATAATGTTGTATCTGAAATATTTCAATATTTTATAATAATTGATCCTTTGTATAATATACTGTTCACGGTAAATAACGCAAAATGACTATGTCGTCTGACTCCTGTGTCTGCTTTTAATTTTCTTTTAAAATCTTTATCTATATTCTTGGACACAGACAGACTAGTAAATTTATATTTAATTATTGTTATTTATTGACTGAACTGAAAAGAGATGTCTTCCAGTGAATCTATGTGCAAAAATATATTGTACATATACATACAGCTTATACATCATTGTATATAAATTATATAGTAGTTTCATACAAGATTTCATTTTTTTTATTAATATTATAATACTCGTATAATAAATAATACGTACTATTACAATGAACAGTTCTATACTTAAAATAGGACATTACCTTGTTTATCAGGGGGGTATTTAGGTTTTGCTGTGTAATCAATAGCTTCAATATCCTTAGCTAGTTGAATCTTGGCTTGCTCATTGTTTCCCAAAAGTCTTAATGCTAGCTCATAAGAAACTTTCGCTCTTGTTGGCTCCCCAGTACCTGACCGAATATAAAACAAATTTTTAGTCTGGATATTTCTGAAATTTTCACATATTGATTTTAATTTATAAAATGTATATTTTTTAATACTATGCAAATTTGAGATTAAATTAATGAATAGAACCACACGCCATTATAAATTGAATTATGGTGTTTTTTGTTATGTTGTGTTTTATACAGCGTCTGTCACGAATACAATTAGAATAAGATTACTTTTCGAAAATACTATCCAAACCAGCTTAGAGACTTAGATTATTTATATGTTAATCTAAGCTTACAGATTCTATTTAACATGACAAGTCTATAATTCGGAGGAAAAAGTTCTACGGGCAAATAAGCCGATAATAAACTTAAAAACTTAGTTATGTTCGATTTCAATTAGGCGATTACAATACGTTAAACACCCTTATAATATTTATATAGATGAATTGTTATGTACAATAGTATTCATCTATATATATGAATGGCTATATACCATAGTACGAAACCACATGCAATAGCTAGAATAAGTAGCTTACTGTACGTACTATCCAATCATAATATTAAATGCATTGTAAATTAGAAGAGCACCGTACATATTGTATTATACAATATACTTCATATCTTAATCCGCTTAAACATGGTCTATTCAATATTTGATCGTGAAAATTTACCAATTAATTTATTTACGCCAGGGAAAAGCTGTAATGATGGACATTTAAACAGGTAATTCTTTATTACAACTTTTAAATAAATAAAACCACCAAAATTTTGTTTGTGACATTGATTGAGGAAGAAATTGTGGGTTTAATTTTGACCATATGGACGACACATGGTTATCTCGGTATGAAAAATACTTAGTGCTTTTTAACACGCCTTGTAAAATGCCAAAAGTAGTTTGTTGGAATTATATTATATGTATACTTTAATATTATCAAAATGAGGAATAGCTTGTTTTGAACCAAGGTGTATCCTAATTCCAGTTACATACTGTTATGTATATCTTTTAAATGAGTAGTTATCATTTTATTTTGTACTCAACGGTCTTAAACTATCTTCTTACCAAATTTCATCTAAATCGGTTCAGTAAATTCAAAGATTACCCCCTACAACGTCACAAACTCACAGACCCACAAACTCACAAATTTTGCCTTCTTATAATATTCGAGATCGATATATACATTATATAAGTGCATAGCTCTCCATATAATATTGAATTTCTTTAAATATATAGATAATAATAGAATATCTACAAATAATGCTATTATGAATAATAGGAACCTATATAGCAGTGACCCATTCTCCAATAATAATCGGCCCTCATCCGAGCGGGTAATCTCTCTTTTAGAGCCAATTTTAAATCTTCTAAAGCAGCTGCTGGTCGGTTTAAGCGGAGAAGTATATCAGAACGTAGCCATAGGGCAAGTGCCAGTGAAATTCCATCATCTAAAATCTCTTCAGCTCCTGTAATAATTAAAATATCTAATTAAATAAATGCAAGACCGTCAAGACAATGTGGGATGTGCTTAATACGCTATTGGTTGAATCAAAATTTGAAGAACTTCACACCTCTACTCAGCGATAGATGTATTTATAATATTAAAACTAGCAAAACAAAATTGCATATTGCTTAAGTCACTAAAATCTTACTGTTCGGATGAAAATATTTCATCGTTAATTTACAATAAAAATTGATTAAACATCGATACTCAGCTCTAAAATTATTGTGAAATTTATTTTCATTTACACATATCTATAATAAAACAGTAACTTGGCGAAATCGGTGTAAGCGTTTCACGCAAAAAGTACTGAATCAATTTTAACGAAATTTTGTGCAGTAATAACTTATAACTCGGCTCAACATTTAGGATACCTTTCACTACGGAACGCACCCGAGCAAAGCGAGAGTAAGTCACTAGTATTTTATAAAATATATGTAGTACGAGTATTGTAGCTATGTGCGGACCCAGCTGCGAATCGCACAAGCAAACATCATAGAGGGTTCATCTATAGTCAAGTATGCAATCCGGTTACTCTAACTCGCTTTACTTTAAGTTATAAATATAGAAAAACAAAAATAAATACTTATTTTAAATAACTTGAAGTAAAAATAAAAAAAATACATTTATAACTAGGAGGAAAACAAAAACCAACCTATCCCACGGGAATCGTACATTTCTCCGGGATAAAAAATAACCTATGTGTTATTCCAGACTATAATATATATCTGTGCCAAATTTCATCCAGATCCGTTTAGCCGTTCTGGCGTGAAAGAGTAACAAACATCCGTACATACTCACAAACTTTCACATTTATAATATTAATACGGACTAGGAATTAAAAATTTAATTTGGGAAAAATTTTTACTCAGATTTCTTTATAGAACAATTTTCATTTCATTTTCACAAAATACAGCAACTTATACGCCTGATCTAAAATAACTACGTTTCTGTATTTATCATGTTACACAGATAGTACAGAAGCAAGGTTTACTTTAAGCTTATTTCTAATTAATATATTCAAAATTCAAAATTATGAGTGATCTAAGTATTTTGTTATCTAAAGGACTTCTATTACCTATAAAACCATTCTTATGCATATTTCAAACATATCGAGCTCAGAAATTAAGCAAACATTGTTATTTCTGTTCCTGTGTATTCAGTGTTAATGTATGGCCTTAGGATATGTGTTTGAGCGCCAACACAACACAGGGTTATGCATTAAACAACACGACTTTAACCATTATTAAAGCACGTCAATCTACACCATAGCTCCATTAAATTATTATGCAGTAATTGCTTTTTAACTAAAATAGTTTAGTTAAACGCTACCTTAAACCTAATTATTACAATCATCGGCCACCCACAGCTCTTTATTAAAGTTGCTATGCTTAGAATGTACCTAATATAAATACAAAAAGAACAAATTCAAAGTACCTTCTTCGTGAAAGTCGGTTGATAAAATTAATATAACTTGTCTGAATTGAAAATATAATAGTAATAATTTGATGAAATGTCTACAAGTGTAGAGTTGGTACACTTAACAATATCGGAAAGTCCCGTACTTAATATCTCGTATATCTACAACTCGGTTTTCAAAGTTCACGGTAGACTAATCATAGTTAAAGTTAAGAGGCTTTGAATAGTCTGCACCAAAGATAAATATCAACCGATGCTTATATTATCACATATCCAGTGAAAGGGAATATTAAGCCCAAAGATTGAACAAAGTTTGCGGATTTATAACAGATCACTACTAATTTTAATAGGAACAACAGTTAGTTACCTCTAATAGAAATTAAAAAATAATTCATATTGAATGAATTGGATGTGTGAAAATATTGAAATATTTTATCATTTTTATAATTACGTTTTTTTGATCGTCCACAGAACTTTACTGGAGACTTCCTATATCTGTACAGTAATAAAACAGTAACTAAGCGAAATTTGTTTATGAAATATTTTTTAAAAACAATGACTGTAATGTATTGTGTACAGAATATTATATATATAATATAAACCCCAAAAAAATAGTTATTAAATTTTTTGTCTGTCTTTCTGTATGTCTGTTTGTGTGTTCGCGTTTTAGACTTGTGTAGTGATAATTTATTCTGCAATAGAAAAAATAAATCTATAAAAAAGGCTTTTTACGTCACTAGTCCTAAATAAAGCACAACTAAAAGGCTTCTATTCTTATATATATTTGTATATACATATATATCTCGAATTAACTAAAATAGGGGACGATTATATAAATAATTATGCTCCACCTTGGTACAGATTTATAAGTCCAATAAAGAATTTCCATAGTTTATTTTTTTATTTTTACACACCTCAAGTAAGTATTAGCTTTTAAGATGTGTACCCAACAATGTAAAATTGTAAAAAGAACTAAAACTTAAAAGAGAGAAATGTAAACCTGTCATTGGCGCTCGCAGTACGGCTTGGCTTATTAAGGCTAGGCTTTTTGTTAGATCTCCTTCTTTTAATGCCGCTTGTGCCATCTGTCTGCGGTCATGGGATATCCTGACGTCTTTACCACGAAAAATAGGCTGAATTCTTGATAAAACTTCATTGAGAGCTTCCATAATCTATAAAAAAGGATAGTATTAATTTAATGAGACAAATTCAAGGTTTAAGACCATGTATTAGGTTTTAACTTCGTAACCTTTAGTGTCAGAAATTCATTGATCAATGTGTTTTAAGCGTTAACTAACGAAAGCAGCATAGATATTATGATCTGTACTAGTATATCTAAACTTTACTAGTCTTTAAATTACTCCAAGCTATAGTTTAAATGGCAGTGGTAGCCCAGTGGTAACGCGATTGCTTGGGAAACCGAGTGAAGCGGGTTCAAATGCCGGGTCTCGCACCTCTGATATTTTCATGTGCGAATCATTTCCAACATGCTTATCACTTGTCTTAACGGTGAAGGAAAACATCGTGAGGAAACCTGCATGTCTGAGAGAACTTAGCAAGTTTTCGAAAGACATGTGAAGTCCGCCAACCCGCACTTGGCCAGCGTGGTGGACTATGGCCTGATTCGCTTCGTATTGAAGGGGGCCCGTGCCCAGCAGTGGGACGTTAAAAAGGGCTGAATACAATACACAATATATCTATTTTTTTAAACAACTGAATCAATATATAAAAAACAAAAACCATTACCTTTACTAATATTGAGAAAATACCTTCTGTTTGGCTAATATTAATAAAAGGATCATTGCATTGTTCTATTTTGTGAAAATTATAAAGCAAATGAAGGACTATTCTTCTTAAGCCGTTTTAAGTTCGGTTTCTCTTCGAACAATGGCAAAGAATAACATAGCAGCCATACTAGTACTAGTACGCTTTTATGAACGTCTATTATTATTACTATTAAAAAGTACTTTAGGAATTTTGATCAAGTTTCTGGCGTGTATTTAAAATAGTTGATTAGACTATTATATAAAATTTTGTTTAAAGCAATAAAATCAAAAAGAAGTCGTGATTTAATAGTCGTACGTTAATTACAATATATAACGAGATATTTATATATTATATAATAAAATACCTTTAAAATTGACTTACTGTTTCATTTTTTAAGACAGTACTGATTTTCTCATTATCTTTAACACTTTCCAATGTTTGCAGCCAGCCATCGCGTTCTGCTAGAGACACTAAGTCTTCAACTAGATTCTTGAAAAATCCTTTGTTGTTCGAGTATAATGTCACATCGCTGCAAACGGCGGCGAAAGAAGAGTCGAAATCTTCGTATATCCGTGCCATCTTGCAACAACAGATTAGTAGTACAGTATAATATTTTTATACTCATAGTGTTTTACTCAATTACTGTTTGATATATTTTTTCACATGTTAAATCATACATATATAATTTTCAGGGATATGTAAATTGTAATTATTTATGCAGAGAGCATTAAAAAGTCATTCGCTTAATTTCCTTCATATATTCAATTATTTTTCTTTTACAACGTGTCGTTTATAATTTAGTTAACGGACTATTTTGGTCTGACGATATATTGAAATTAACACTTGAATATAGTTAAAAACTATTTAATAATCATAATATTTTAAATACGTAATATAAATACATTTGGTTCTCAGAATCTTTAATTATTATAATTGAATTGGATACCTAATTCTTTTACTGAAATAAAAGTACTAGCCTAAGTTACTCCTTATAACATCAACTACCTGCCAGTGAAAGTCCCGTCAAAATCGGCCCAGCTGTTTCGGAGATTAGCCGGAACAAACAGACAGACAAAAAAAATGTGTTTTTCTTATAAATACAGTATTTATTCCCATATGCATTTAGTAAAAAGCTGTTATTTTGACATTACAAACAGACACTTCAATTTTATTTATCTGTATAGATTAGGCATAAATAATGAACGATGAAATGTTATATTTTAATATTAAATTAGTGTGATATACAATGGTTAAACTGTTAGATTTTGTTGTTTGTTTAGTAATTTACTCATTTTAATCCGTATCACGAGACTAATATTGTATAAAAGCATTAAATACAAATCAATTTGAAACATTAAATCGAACGTACATTTGCCCATTAGCCGTACGGAATTAGCTCTGCACCATCAACATTTCCAGGCATCTAAATGTCAAGAGTTGCGTAGGTGTCTATTATCAAACTAATTAAATTAATAAAATGATCAACGTTTTTCTTTATTTAGTTTATCTGTATTTAATTAATATGCATAATTTATGATACTTACTAAGTAGAATTAAAGGTAAAATCTTATCCAGAATATTTTTCGACATTTTGTAATTCGCATCATATTTTATTTAGTATGTTGAATAATTAAAGAACATGATAAAAAGAATTTTTTATTGTAAAATTAATGATACCTACCCTTAGATTATATTATAGCTTCATAAAATTAGAAGTAATTTATATGAAATAGAAACAAATTACAAAAATAACTTATAGGTAAGTATCTACTGTATATACTTATAATATAGTTATTACTAACGACTTACCCTCGCTTCGATCGGAACCCTAATTCTTTTTCTAGAATTAAAATATCCTAAACTACTTCTTAATACATAAACTATCTACCAGTGAGAGTTCCGTTAAAATCAGTCCAGCCATTTTGCAGATTAGCCGAAACAGACAGACAAAAAAAATATAATAGTGATTTTCTTCTAAGTACCGTATGCATTTAGTATAAAGCTATAAGTCTCATATGCATTTAATATAAAGCAGGTATTTTGACATTACAAACAGATTTCGATTTTATTTATCTGTAGTGTATTTAACACGATAATTTATTAAATACATTAATTTATCATCGAAATTTAACATTTAATTACCTTTAAATTTGTGATATTGTAAATTATTAATATCGCGTTAGAGCGACTTTGTCACATGTAGTATTATTATTATCCTCATACGGCATGTATATTTCACTAATTTCCTGATATTGTACTTCGTAAATTTGTGCTTTTAAATTTTCAATTTAATTTTCAACCTGTTTACGTCTAATTTACATTTATGTAACTAATAATAGCATCAGAAATATGCAATTTTTTAATTGTATTTTTACACAAAGTGAAAAACTCCACCATACAGCAAAAGACTTATAATCAACATGAGCTAGCAAAGCATAAATTTGCACCTATACATTGAATATTATTTAAAAATATTTGATATATTTTCTAAAAATATAATAAAAAACACATTATAACCTTACAGATGATACAGAAAGGGTTGAGCTCAAATTTTTCCTCACGCCAGCTCACCAGCATAAAAGAATCTGATCCTTTTCTATCCTGGCTACCGTCGATGCTATGGATTCACTAATATCCTGTTCAATATCGCACTGGCTAGACGTTGTTATTATCCGGAAATCATTTCACCGTGAGTGATAATAATTTAGTTTTTAAAATAAGAATAATATTTGAACTTCAGCTATTTCCTTCACTATTTAATTTACTACTTTATATAATATTGATTTAATATAATATTAAAAAAAACAAATTACCTTTAGATACTTCCGGAAAAGACGTGTGTGCGATGAACAAGAGCTGCATGCAAAGTTTTCTAAAATTATGCTCGCTACTATTACATCTACAGCATTCTATTTTTGAAATAATAGTGTCAAGAGAGGCGCCATCTAGAAAGAAAGATGTGAACTCTATCTATCACGTAATAAATTACTATCAACGTTATACTTCTTGTAAGATCAGTGTTATTAAAAAAATATATTTTTTTAGTTAAATAGGTTTTACACTTATTTATTTTGGTAATGTTATAATAACAAATCTAAATTACACAAGTATTGTTCTTAATGTTCTCTAGTATATTCCAAAAAAAAAACAAATTAAACTCAAAGCAAGTAAAATTATTAGTTTCTACAAGCCGTTACTTTGTTTTCAGACATTTTTATATAATTATAAGTAGGTAGGAGTTTAATAAAGTCGAAATATAAGGCGCCTTAGAAATTTTTTTAGCAATGTGGCTACGTTATAATTTATCGAAATAATTCTTTGTTTTATTTTTATTATCAAAAATGTAATATTTAAATTAAATATTATATTAAGTGCTTTATTTTGTTAAGATAATATGAATATAATAAATAATAGCGTTTCTTAAATAGTGGGAATTTGAAAGTTTAGAAGTTGAGGACATTTTTGTTATATTTTTCCTGTAAACTAGGAGTGGACATGTACGTCCAATTTATTTTTTAAAGTTTATTTATACTTATAAAAGGCAGACTTCCATTTTTTCGTCAAATGTATGAAAAATGAATTAAAACGCTCATCCATAACCCATAGTGAGTTATGGCAGATATTTCGGTTTACTGGTAGACACTGAATAGTTCTACTTAGGTATAGTACCTATAATATACTTCGGATGATTGATAGTTGAAACTAATTAATTTTAAGTAATTATACAAAATGAATGTTCATTAAATATTAATTTATCTCCAAGGGAATAATTACTTCTCCGCTAGTTGTAATTACCGTAATATTACTGGATACAAGGACAGAAAATCTATACTACATTCAATATTAATATTATACGTTGGTATATTAGTATAAAACAGCGTCTGTCTGCAGGTCGCGAAGTGCTGGCTCCAAGTTCTAAAAGAGTTATTGGATTTTTTTGTCAAGAAATTTTCAATAGAGCCCGGAGTTGGGAAGTTGCCTTTAAGAGTATTTATTATATTTGAAGATAAAATTTTATAAATTATTAAAAAGTTATTATTGTTTTATAGATAAAGCGAAAACGTTAGTAAGAATCTAGAGGCAAATAATTAATTAGAGAATTCAAACGATATAGATAATGCTTGTACAGTCGATTTATTATCTATACTAATATTATAAAGAGGTAAAGTTTGTGAGATTGTGACGGTGTAGGGGGTAATCTCTGGCTCTACTAAACCGATTTAGATGAAATGTGCTAAGAAAATAGTTTGAGACCCCGGAAAGGACATAGGAAAATTTTTATCCCGGAAATCATCTTTTAAGAGGGTGAAAATGGGGATGAAAGTTTCTATTGGGAAACAAGCTAGGAACTAACCCGAACGAACCGAGGGTGAGTCGCTAGCCAGTAGATAAATTGATTTGATAGGACACCCTTTTACAATTGAGAAAATAATAGCTCATAGATAAGCATTAGTATTATAAATAAGGACGAATGTGCTGGTTTTTATATATAATTTTCATATTTAATGAAATGTTTGTTCAGAAAATGGCATTTAAGTGTATATTGTTATAAGTTTTTGTAATTTTTGTTTTTAATTAGAAAAGTGTGCGGAACAATGTTGATACTAGGTAAATAAATGGTAAAAGGAGAGTAGAGGTTTTTCAGCGTATCTTGTTGTACAATTTTACGGAATGCAGTTTTTTAAACTTTTTAAAGAGTTTTGTTGTTAGTATTTTACATCCATCTTTGTTTTCAGTTAAGGTAATATTATAATTATGAATATAACATGAATTATTGTCGGAGTAATCTATCGTTTAATTTGACATAAATATACATTACATATTATTTAGTGATTGGTTTTATTATTTTTAACTTCCTGTGTAATATTATACCTCAAAATAATTAAATAAGGCATATTAGGCATATTACAATCATATATTTATAGAATATCATATAAGGAAAGAATATAATAAATACTATATACTAGCAAAACTCGCGTCTTCGCTCGCGCTAAAACTACAAATTAGTACTCTTCGTACAAATTTCATCCCCCATTTTACCCCGTACTGGATGAATCTAGAAAAATTATTTATTTAATTGTTTTGAAGTGCATTAATGCCAAGTTTCGAGTAATTCTGAACATAAATATTTTTTGGATTGTATTTTAACGTGTTTTCCCCTGCGAATTAGATAATCTCCCGCGTCAAAGTAGCCTAAATGTCACTATCTAGTCCTCCAACTATATCCATACAAAAAATCACGCCAATCCGTCACTCTTTTCCGACGTGAAAGAAGGAGAAACAAACAAAGAAACAAACAAAAAAACACACCTACACATTTACAATATTAGTATATGGATATCGATATACAAAACCTGTTATAAAATATTTTATATTCGTCTATGTAATTTCAAATTCAGCTATTTTACCCATGTTAAGTTAATCCTTTCGTAACTCCTATCCATTAACACCATAATGTCTTGAATGGCAGTCTGCGAGAACTAGCTGTTTTGTGATTCACTGCATTGCTTCGAACAAAGCAAGCCTGATTTTATTGAATGTCCCATGACTTTTATTCGCAATAGTACATATGGAGAGCTCAATGTTCCGTAAACATCGGTTTACTCCCAAGCATTTGTGACCGTAATAAACTGGCAGCTCGAATATGCGATAAGCGATTTATTAACATCTATAGAATTATGCACCTTAGAAGTAACCAACCAGTAAGGATTTCCAAAAATAAATATATAACCTTGAAATATATTCAAAAAAAATACTGCTATAGTTCTTCAAAAAATTATATATGAGTATTTTTTTAACGTATAGCTTGATGATGATAACATCTAGCTTGTTTTTATATTTATCTCATTCAACGTGACTGTATAACATAGGAATTCCTCAAAAGGAACGTAATAAATCCTGAAAATATATATGGAAGGAAAGAGTAATAGGTAATGAATAGGTAAATGATTTTTAAATCTTACTTTCAAATAAATATATAAAGCTGAAAAATTAGACCCTGTATCAGTAGTTTACACTGATTTTATTAATAGATGGCAGTGTTTGCATTTTCTGACTTGTTTATTTCCGTTCCAAGCGGTTACAATAACCGCAACTTCTTTTCTATTTTCACCCATATTTTTTATTTTCATTTTCACTATTCCATATTTTCTATTTTCACCCACTTTACACTGTATGTAGTATACCATACTAATATTATAAATGTGAAGGTGTGTTTGTTTGTTTGTTTGTTTGTTTGTTTGTTTGTTTGTTTGTTTGTTTGTTTGTTTGTTTGTTTGTCTTGCTTTCACGTCGAAATGTCTTGGCGGATTGGCGTGATTTTTTGTATGGCGATAGTTATATGGATATGGATAGGGCTGGAGAGTGACATAGGCTACTTTTTACCGCGGGAAAACACGTTATAATACAATTCAAAAAAATATTAATGATCAGAATTATTTGAAACTTGGTAATAATGCTCTTCAATAAAATTAATTAAATACGTGTTTTAGTATTTTTCGTAATTCATACCATAAGGGAGTAAAATAGCGATTTTAGCGCGAGCGAAGCCGCGGGTTCTGCTAGTACATAATTTATAATATAAAAATGAATCGCTGTATGTGTTGGTAAGCGCAAATCTCGAGAGTAGCTGAACCGATTTCACTAATTCTTTTTTTAGAATATTTCTTGAAGTACGAGGATGGTTCTTACGGAGAGAAAAATTTAAAAAACTGCCTGAAAAAGTCTAAAAACAATACTTTTCTATACTCCCATACAAAAGATTCGTATTAATACTTAAAAGTCAATTTGAACTTTAATACCATATCATAAAGGATAAGTGTTAGTGGAGAGGTTCCGGGAAGGACACTCAAAACAATTGAGTGACGTTAGTATCGTATAAATATTAATGTCAATATTTGTCCATATTATTAACAAAAAAAAAAATTATATGACTAACGCTGGCTAATAACTACTTATATCTATTTAAAACGTACCTAGCGACAAACACGAGCGAAGCGAGTGTGAGCCGCTAGTAAATAGAATAATTTAGTCTTTAATTAAGTTCGTTGCGCCATCTAGTGCCTACTGAGGCCTAGCAAAATAATGAGTAAAATAGGTAGGGCGAATATATTTTATTTGTCTGGGATGATATATTAGCGCTAATGTACTACGTGAAAATAAACGATGACCACGATATCTTCAAATGACGTGTAATTAAAAAAAATGTTTTTGTAATTACAAGATTAAAGTAAATAAGAAAAATAAATAATAAAATAAATAATAAAGAAAATATTTTTTGCATTTTATACTAAAGTTGAAATACTAAATAGTTCGTGATGTGTCTGATTGCGACCTATCCGTTTAGCAAAACCTTTTTTCACTCTTGTAAGGTAGTGTCTAAAAAAGTTAAATCCAGATTTTAAGGAATGATAAAGTTTCATCAAATGCGTCCTAAGTAAATGACTTTCTATTAGAGATGCAAATACTTACTAAACTTCTTTATGTATCGACATTTTAAAATTACTTTTTTTTCTTTACCCTCTAATTATAATTATGAGGAGTTATCATTTGAATACTTGCTTTAGGTATGCAATAAGAAACGTGAAACTTTTCAGAAAATGCTGATTTTGGGAAGTAATGTAGAAAAAGGACGGTTTGAAATTTTATAGGACGAAATCGTGGCCTCTGACAAATGATAAAATAAACTTCACGTTAACTAAACTAACTGTATTCGAATGACATGCCATAGCCTGAATATGGTCAATGTTTATATTGACCGTAGAGATGTTTGTTCTAATATTTATGTAATACTTGTACGGAGAATCGTTGACTTTCTTTGCTACTGTAAGAGTAAGCGTTTTGATGCTTAGAATGTACCTATATAATCCATACTAATATTATAAATGTGAAAGTGTATTTGTTTGTTTGTCTTTCTTTCACGCCAAAGCAATGATGAATTAGCGATGGATTAGCGTGATTTTTTGTGTGGAGATATTCGGAGGGCTGGAGAGTGACATAGGCCACTTTTTAACGCGGGGGATTATCTCTTTTCCACGGAAAAACACGCTATAATACTACCCAAAAAAATTTTTTGATCAGAATTCCTTAAAACTTAGCATTAATGCTCTTCATTACAATTTACGAAATACATGTTTTAGAATTTTTCGAAATTCGTCCCATAAGGGGGTAAAATAGGGGATGAAAGTTTCCCCCCCAACGTGCGTTCACCTTGTCGTGGTGGGGGGGCTCAGTAGTGCCCGGCAATCCAACCGGGCGCGAAGCTAAGAAACGCACAGGGAGGTTGCCCACTTCGGTGGGCGGTGGGAGGTGGCCCTCTTCGGGGGGGCGGTGTACCATGCGGGTTGCTCCTGGTACTTCTCTGATAGCAGAGTGGACTGTGGAGCAACCCCATGGTTGTGGTGGTCTGCTTCGGCAGACCTGCCGTCGGGGCGTCGTAGTTGAATGCGTAAGCGATCCTGCGACGCCCCATTAAGACGGGGGAAGGTTTTGTTGGGTTTTAGTGGGTAGTACTGGCTGTATTACGCCGGTGAGTCCCACACGTCGTGCGTAAATGCATTTCCCAACGTTAAAAAAAAAAAAAAAAAGTGGATGAAAGTTTGTATGAAACCTATCTTTTTATAGTTTTAGCGCGAGCGAAGCTGCGGGTTCTGCTAGTAGTTTTATGAATAAAGTGTTTAAATTATTTATATAGAGGAAGAGCCCGTGAACGCCAAACCTTCGTCATTTTATAAAGACTGAAAGTTTGTCAGCACATGCTCCCAACACCGATAAGAACGATGGACCATTTTCCAAACAAGTTGGGAGACATTGCTAAGAAAATGTTGCAAATGGTCACCAAATTTGAAGCGCTAAGAATTGACTTTATTTTTCATGGTGTATAATAAATGCTATGCTAGTAGTTTTATAAATCATCTAATTCTTCCCCAAGTATTAAATATAAAAATCAGCTTTTATACTATAACGTAAGTAGAATTATGATTTCATGAAAAAGGTGTCTGGCAAGGGTTTGCCACGATGTTAAGTGTCTGGAATTGAATGACGTGATTTTTAATAATATTCTGAAGGTAATACCTAAAAATCACACCTTATTATTTGACGAATTTAGATCGGTATTTTACACACCTTTAGTACCGTGTACCTGCCAAAGCCACCATAGCCTGAACTTCATAATGGTCCATCGTTCTTATCTGTGTTGGGAGCATGCGCTGACAAACTTTCAGCTTTTATAAAATGACGAAGGTCTGGCGTTCACAGGCTCTTAGGCCAATATGTCATGTTGCTATTTTTATATTAGGTTTTCGAAGAGTTTATATTTTGCGTTTAGTATTTTAGGTAAGTTCAATGTTGAAAAATACATCTTGTGCTTCACATAAAGAAGAGCTAATGGTTAGGTTAGGTTAGACTAAAACTAAATACAGACAGCTACTATAAATATAAAAATTGATTTAGATATATTATAATATAAACTATGTTATTTATTATTTTTTCATAATTTTCTAAATAATTTTAATACAGTACGCATTAGTAAATTGAAGTATGACGGTGTTGAGCATTGTTTCAGTACTGGTTAAGTAAGCGAAAGTCGCTCATGACTTATCGAGCATTGTAGAATGAATGCCTAAAATATCGTAGTATAGCGTTATTAGATTTTGAAATAAACTTATGTATAAGATTATTTATTTGTTTAATAAGTAATATTTTAAAGTCACCTTAAAATTATAGCAATATATATGTCTTATCTTAGGATATACCAATTTGTGCTATTTCATAGGGCGTGTATTGATTTATTTCAAAGATTTTAATTTAGTAATATATAGTTACGTTTTAGTGGCTCTATGTAGTTGATGACGCGACGCTTATCAGCGGTTATCACCCCGCGAGCCTCGTGTCTCGATCACACTTCAGTCGCGCGTCCTCACTCTGAGAGAGTAGACTCTACGCTCAGTTTTATCGGATTATTTCCGAACGTGAACTGGTGCATCTGTCACTTTGCGTTTGAAATCTCACCTTCTCTCTCATCCACATCTCTGTAAGTATAACTATACTTCATAATATACTTTTATTTTGATATAATTCATTAAAAACACATTGCTTCAGCTTTTGTAAATAAATCTTGAAGTATAAATCCTTCAAAGGCGCGTGATCGGTATGTTAGAACGTTTTGAAAATCTTTTTTTTTTCTTTTTAAAGAATGCAATGTGAGTCACATCATGTGGAAAGATATGAAGGTCGTGCTCTACTCATCCTAAAGTAAATTTGTCCTCGCGGTCTTAATGTATCAGGTGGGATATTGTTTATCGCACGGAACGAGATGTCTCTATGGCGTCGACAATAGCCACCTCACCGGCGTTATTTGAATATTACTACGATTAGCTTTCGTATGCTAAGGCCAATTATCTCTCAGTAACGTTTGAGAGTTTACATGTACAAAATATATGTATAT